GGTGCCAAGATGCAAGCTTCACTTTAAAATCTGCTAATTAAAACAGATGACTCTTGTATTGTATTTGATTCTAGAGGGTAAACAATGGTGTTGCAGGGATACAAAGACATTATAGTTCTTTACTGAGTGTGAAAATATTTCACAAATAAATTGATTTGTTGCTTAGATTCAAATGTACTTTTAAATCTAGAAAGAAAAATACTTCTGTTGATTAATTAACATGTGTTTTGACAGATCAATTAATTCAGTGAGTAAAGTATTTAAAGGACTTTTGAAGATGATTTATATTAACAATTAAACTGAAGGACACAGCCAATAGTAATATCAATTTTCAAAAGTGTTTAAAGATCAATTTATTCTGTCTCATGATAATACTTCTAAAGCACTAATGAGAAGTTCTCACAGTAACTGGGTTGCTGTGAGTTTTCCGAGCTGTATGGCCATGTTCCAGAAGCATTCTCTCCTGACATTTTGCCCACATATATGGCAGGAATCCTCAGACCGTGTGAGTTCTGTTGGAAACTAGGCAAGTGGGATTTATATTTCTGTGCAATGTTCAGAGTGGGAGAAAGAACTCTTGTCAATTTGAGGCAAGTGTGGATGTTAAAATTGGCCACCTTGATTAGCATTGAATGGTCTTGCAGCTTCAAAGCTGGCTACTTCCTGCCTGGGGAATCCTTTGTTGGGAGGTGTTATCTGGCCCTGATTTTTTCCTATCTGGAATTCCCCTGCTTTTTGGCTGTTGTTCTTTATTGTTGTTATTTATTGTCCTGATTTTAGCGTTTTTTAAATGCTGGTAGCCAGATTTTATTCATTTTCATGGTCTCCTCCTTTCTGTTGAAATTGTCCACATGCTTGTGGATTTCAATGGCTTCTCTGTGTAGTCTGACATGGTGGTTGTTAGAGTAGTCCAGCATTTCCGTGTTCTCAAATAATATGCTGTGTCCAGGTTGGTTCATCGGGTGCTCTGCTATGGCTGACTTCTCTGGGTGAATTTGTCTGCAGTGCCTTTCATGTTCCTTGATTCTCACAGTAAGAATTTGTGTCTGAGTTTTCTTGTTTTCTTTCCCCCTAAGAACCTGGCATCAAAAATCTGAATATCACGGAAAATGCCCAAAACTAGTTAAACATGACAGCTTAGCTAAGTTGAATTGACTTTTATTCTATGCCACCCAAAGACCTTCGGATATTAACATTTTAAACATTTTGTAAGAGGTTAGATTTTGATAAAAAATAAAACAAAACAAATTAATTAAAATTCAATAAAATACCTACATGGTGGAATTGACCTGGGTTACACTAGATTTTTCCTGTGTTCTCGCTTCTCTATTGATGCAGCCACATCTCCTACCTCTTTGATCAAGGCTTGTTCTCTAAGGGTGGTTTCTAGAGGGAATTAAGGGTCAGGCTACACCCAATGTTAAATATATCTTTGACTCCCATGATAGTGATTTTCATTTGCTCACACTTTGAAGTAACTGCTGCTAATCTACTTATGAGAAGTGCATCCACCCAATTTTTCATACGTGCTCCTTCCCTTTCAACTAGTAATAACCTTAAATTTTTTTGGAGAAATGGTCTGGAAGGAACTGCAGTGGGGAGAAGATGATAGAGAAGCATGCACAAACTTTGGCCCTCCAGGTGTTTTGGATTTCAACTCCCACAATTCCTAACAGCTTAGTGTTAGAAATTGTGGAAGTTGACATCCAAAACACCTGGAGGGCCAAAGTTTGTCCATGCCTGTGATAAGAGAATTTGCCTCCACTAATCCTATTGTCCATGCCTGAGGGTCCTTTTGGAAAATGTGGATCTCCATAACTATTTGGGAAATGGGATTCATAACCTTTTGGGAAAACCACTGGTCACAGGAAAGAAATGACCTTGTTAGAAATCACAATCTTTTTAGAAAAATGACATTCACCAGCATTCAAGCAAGGCAACTAGGTTTTTCAGCTGTTAAACTGATGTACCTAGGTATGTCTTTGAACTGCTAGGGGCAAAGACATGCCAATGCACAAAAACATATATATTCATCAGAGTTTCCTTTAGTTGTAAAAAAAAAACCCTTCTCCTCCTTAAAATATATTTGCCTTTCAATCATGCTCTCAATTGTAAAAAAAAAACTCAGTCTTCTTTAGAAGTAACAGAATTGGTTTACTCACAAAACTTAATGTATACAGCATACAGGCACTTTGCTTATGAATCCAGTTACAATAGGATTTTAAGTAGTTTCTCTGTGTAGGTAACACAGGGCATCTTCCTTAGAAACAATAGTCCATAGTCCAATGCATCTCTCTATTTAGAGAGTCTAATAAGTCTCTAAGCAGACAGTTCCTGCATTGAAGTCTTAAGGCATCTGCTTGCTTCTACTCGCTCTAAGAGTCTAATACGGTAACTTCTACAAACTAAAATGGAGTCTGAATCCTGAACATGTCTAGTTCTGATCACATGGTCTTCAGCCCCTCCCACAACAAAGAGGTTAGGTAAAATTGCAAACCAATACAAACATACAGTACAGTAAGCAATTGTATACATAACAAATAACTAGTGGAGGCTTGAGAAGGTTGCTATTTCCAACAGATTCTGCCCATTACATGGAGAAGAACCTGAAAATTCTACTAATGAATGGTGTCCTATTCGACTCCATTCTTGGGCCAGAGACCACAGATTTCACAAATACAAGTACAAAAAAAAATGGCAAACAAAGAATGAGAAAAATCAAGGCAAGGAAACGCCATGGGTGAAGCCAAGATTCCAACAACTTTTACTGTCACAAATGTTTTCCGCATATAAAGGAGGTCCTGTGAGTCTTCAAATGTTCTGTTGCCTCAGAAACAAGGCCAAAATGTTTCACATAATACACACCCACATACAATGCAATAGAAGCTGCATTCATGAGACCTCCTGTGACTTGCAATTAAATGCAAAATAGCATCACTAACTCCAACCCCTACATATACAAATATTTAGCTCTTTGATGCTCAAACAATTAGAAACAGAATAATAATATTGATATAAATTACTAGTGGTTAGGAAACACCTACATTTACCATCATTTTGGCTGAAGGAATTCAAAATAACAATCAAATGTGCACAGTGAAATATCCCTTCTAAAAACAACACACATGCACCCTTTGAGCTCTTTTATAAACACACAAAAACTTTAAAAACTATTTGTAATACTGCATAAGACAGCTGTTTTAAAGGTAGGAAAACTGAAAGCCTTCCAGAACACATGAAAGCCCTTTGGGATGACTGTCAACACCACAGCTTTTTCATTTTAAACATTTTACAATTGTTTTTACCTCTTTGGAGCCCAGGGAGACTCTAAATATGGTGAAACTGCCTTGCACATACACATCAGGATACTATTAGGGTATGTATTGTTGAAAGCTTTCTTGGAATGACTGAGTTGCTGTGAGATTTTTGGGCTATATGGCCATGTTCCAGCAGCATTCTCTCCTAACTTTTCGCCTGCATTTGTGGCTGGTATCATCAGAGTTTCTGTTGGCAGTGAAGCAAGTGGGAGAAAGAACCCTTGTCTGTTTAAGGAAGTGTGAATGTTGCAATTAGTAAGTTTGAACTAGCATTGGAGTAGCTATGAAGTTTGCAAAGTCATTCAGTGGGAATATCTGCATAGAGGTAGCTTGGCTTTGGCTGCCTGGAGGCATCCTCTGTTTGGGAGCTGTTAACTGGCTTTTGATTGCTTGTTGTCTCGAATTCTCCTGTTTCTGAGTGGTAGTCATTATTTACTGTGTTTTTAAATAGTGGTAACCAGATTTTGTTCATTTTCATGGTTTCCTCCTTTCTGTTGAAATTGTCCATGTGCTTGTGGACTTCAATGGCTTCTCTGTGTAGTCTGACATGGTAGTTGGTAGAGTGGTCCAGAATTTCTGTGTTCTCAAATAATATTCTGTTAATATTTATTTATTTATTTATTTATTTATTTGTTATTCAAACTTATATGCCACCACTCCCCTGGGGCTCCAAGCGGCTTACAAGAACAGGCTAAAATCTAAAACAATTTAAAAACAATTTAAAAACAGCAATATCAAAGATCAAAGGCCCGTCGAAACAGATATGTCTTACATGCCCTGCGGAAAGCTGATAAGTCCCGCAAGGCACGGACTTCAGGTGGCAGAGTATTCCAGAGTGATGGTACCACTGCTGTAAAGGCTTTAATATTCTGTCAAACAATACACTGATTGACTTTGCAAACTTCATGGCTACTCAAATGCTAATTTAAGCTTATTAATTACAGCATTCACACTTTCTTTAAACCAGTGGTTCTCCACCTGTGGGTCCTCAGATGTTTTGGCCTTCAACTCCCAGAAATCCTAACAGCTAATAAACTGGCTGGGATTTCTGGGAGTTGTAGGCCAAAACACCTGGGGACCCACAGGTTGAGAACCACTGCTTTAAACAGACAAGAGTTCTTACTCCCACTCTGGATATTCCACAGTGTATATACACTCCACTTGCCTCACTGCCAACAGAATCTCTGAAGATGTCAGCCACAGATGGAGGTGAAACATGGCCATACAGCCCAAAAAACACAGCAATTGTTAGGGTATATTTATGAGCAAACAAAATATGAGCTGAGCTTGTTGACCCCTATTCCAGAGGGTATTTGGGGACATTTCGGAGCACAACCATTTTTCAATAAACATTTTGGGGATCTGGAGGCACAGTTTCTCTATCACTGACCTATATACATGCACACTGAATAAAAAACCCTCATTTTAGGTGGCGATTGTCCTATTGTTTAAAGAACAACCACCTATAAGCAGGAAGAGAATAAATATTACCCAAACAGCTCCACTAATTGAGCATGCCTGATTGGAGGGAGGGGACAAAAAATCTAGGTAGAAGAGGGGATGAAATGGAATCTCCAGGAAGATCTTCTGGCTGGTGGTCTGGCACCCAGAGCAAGAGCTCTCCGCCCTGCAATATTTTGTTGTACAGCCCCTTGGTAAAATAATGTATTACACATGGCTTACCTTACTTCCTTGAATGCCCTTTGGACCAGGATCACCAGGAGGTCCACCGATTCCCTTGAGCAAAATAAAAAAGGGAGAGCTTTGAGAAGTGAACGGTTTTGGTCATTTAAGAATGGCTTTTTGCACAATGTCTGTCAAAAGAAGTAATCTCTAAAAATATCTAGGTATGAATCTTTGTAATTAGGAGGAGGCATGATTGCATAAAATAACTATGTTCAGTGATGGAGCTATGCACATTAATTAATGTGTAATTTCGAAATCTTCCCTTGTTGACTTCTCATTGAGGACCTCTTTTGGAAATGCTCTCAGGCTGTGGAATTCCCTTTCTTAGTTGGACTGGCTCTCTACTTCCCTTGGTATACAAAGGCTTTTTTTATTTAAGCTGACTTTTGACAAATTGCTGGCTTCAGACCAGTGTTTTATTATGTCTTTAGAATTGATGAGCTTCTAATTCAGACAAACTCTAATATTACAATTTACTTCATTGCTTTTTTTTTTTTTTACATTTTTTATGTTGCTATCTATACCTGTTTTTAATCTAGTTATTATCTGCCCAGTTTTCCAATTTGGAGAGAAAGGTAAAATATTATTAGAAGACGCAACCATAGCATGCCTATAGTTGGTTGCCAGTTTACCTGTCTGACCATTTAGGTATAGCATGTATTGATGTCATTGATGTATTGTTTATTTATTTACTTACTAACTTCATTTCTACCCCACCTTTCTCTATCCAAGAGAGTATCAACGCGGCTTACAAATCTGGCAAAATTCAATGCCACACAGGTAAACAATAAACATCTCATCAAAATATAAACAAACTAAACAAGTAAGCAATTAAGAAGATTAAATCCACATAAAATGCCAAGTCATTTCATGTCCAAATCATTTTCCCAAATCCATAGTCCATTAGTAAAGCTGTTAAAGTCTTATTCCATAGTTTCCTATTCACCAAACACCTACGATAAGAGCCAGGTCTTAAGTCTTTTTCTAAAAACCAGGAGGGATGAACCCTGCCTAATGTCACTGGGGAGGGAGTGCCACAGCTGAGGGGCCATCACTGAAAAGGCCCTGTCTCTCATCCCAACCAATCACACTTGTGAAGAGGTTGAGACAGAGAGCAGGGTCTCTCCAGCCAATCTTAAAGCTCTTGTAGGGTCATAAAAGAAGATGCATTTGGGCAGGTAAGTTGGATCAGAACCGCATAGGGCTAAGCTTACATGTATATTAAAAGTTTTAAAAGGTATATGGAAACAAAGTGATTTTGATGTTATAGGGGGAAAGTTTGTTGTAAATGGTTTAAAAAACAAAGAAGGAAAGTTCTTTCTCAAGAAGAATTGAGATTTTGGACAGACGATATGTAAAAGTTGTGGCTTGATATGGGGGGAGGGGAGCACAGTGGTGGGGAAAAAAGGGGAAAAATGCTTAAGCAGAATAATAAGATTATGTATTAAAGAGTGTGTTGATTAATATGTAACTGCTATAACCAAATGCATAACAAATGTAATAACTATGATAAAACAATAAAATATATATATATATATTTTAAAAAGAACCGCATAGGGCTTTATAGGCCAAAACCGGCACTTTGAATTGGGCTCGGTAGCAGACTGGCAGCTAGTGGAGCTGACATAACACAGAAGTAGGATGTTCCCTATATGCCACCCCAGTTAGAAATCTGGCTGCCACTCATTGGACTAATTGAAGTTTCTGGGCCATCTTCAAAGCAACCCCATGTAGAGTGTGTTTGTGGCAAACTACTGCTTATGGGGTAGAATTTAAAAGTAAAAGTTAATGTTAGAACATGGCCTATATTGCAGGGTTGGAATGGGACCAGCCATTCTGTGATTCTTAAAGGGGTAGTAGCAGTAGGGGCAGAGCTAATTTACATAAGGGATTCTGATTGGTCATATTTAAATGAGCAGATGCCAAAATTTTAAAAAGGAGGGAACTAAGGATGACAGTTGGAAAAAAAACCTGAACATTCTGGGAGAGAAAAGAAGTCAGAGTGTGAGGGAAGAAAAGCCATTAGATGAGGATAAGTTAAAGGTCCATGAATATAGGTCAGAGAATAAGTTAAGTAAGAGTTTGTAAGGAAATAGTCAGGATAGTGAGTGGAGAACAGTTGAGAGTTTGCTATTATATGGTTAACAAGTGAATCTTTCTATGTGTAAAAAGTCATAAGGATGAGAGTTGTCATGAATATGTGAAATGTTATATTCAACTAAGACGCTAATATACAAATGTAACCAACAAGCTTTTGTGCAAGACATCTATAAATAAACTCAGTTAATGTGGAGTTGTGTATGAAGACTGTTTCGTAAAACATTGAATAAGATTTAAAGAAAAACCCAGAAGAGTCTCGGCAGATTTCAGAAGAGAACTGGTATAAGTTACTGGCCTGAATTGGTGACAGTGGAGAGATATAAAGGAAAGGACCCCCCCCCCCAACTTGGTTTGAAGATATATTATGTGAAGAGGGCATCCCAGTATTAGAGAATATATAAGATGTAACAAGAGCATGGACCACCGTGGCCAAGTCTGACTTCCCAAGGTATGGGCGCAAGTGGCGCACAAGTTGGGCCAGTTGGGCTTAACCACACCATTTCCTTGCAGCAGTTAGTTTGTAACTAATCTTGCTTTGTCTGTCTTCTTTTGTAATCTACAGTGCTCTATGCTCTCCTCTCCCCCTCCCTCTCTGGTAGTTCCATATTTGAAGAACATAATGTTACTGAGCAATTCACCATGAGATATTATGGAATATTTAGTATTTATAAATGAGCTGACTTCCTGTTAACCTGCAGAGGAGAAGTTATGTTTAGCCTGCAGAAGAAAATGTTTAAATATGTGAAATGGTGTCATAAGGAAGAAGGAGAATTCTTGTTTTCTGCTACACTGAACTTGTTGCAATGGGTTCAAATTACAGGAAAGAAGATTCCAGCTGAATATTAAGAAGAACTTCCTGACCATGAGAGCTGTTCAACAGTGAAACTCACTGGTGTGGTGGAGGCTTTTAAACAGAGGCTGGATATAGCCATCTGCCAGGGGTGCTTTGCTTGTGCTTTTCTTGAATGTTTGGATGGGATGGAATGTGCAGTCTCAAAACTCTATGATTCATGTTTTTCTGCAAATAAGATGAAGTTTCCTTTATTCCTCAGCTAGATTCTGTGAGTGTGCTCACCTTTCTCTTGCAAATACGAATTCCTCTATTTATGTGACACAGCACTATTTTCCATATTCTCCAACAGACAGAAAGGAAATAAAAACTTATCCCAGCTTTCCTCCCTCCCTGACCTGGATGGAGTAACAACAATATAAAAACTGCACACAGAGAACAGGTATTGGAAGAGGTGCATGAAATTGTACCTATGACACTACGTTAACTGTTCTGGTAAATCCCTGTTTAGGTTTCCCATGTTGCATCACCAGAGAAGTTCAGTAGCAATACAGCTGGTCAGTATGGGAACTCCTCTTATCAAGGAAAGTCCATGGTGTAAAACTCTACATTTTTCTGTTGCCATAAAAACTAAACAATTGGCAAAAGAAGAGGGACAGTGGTCAGCAGTTCCACTGAGACAGCAAAAATGTTCTCACAATTCTTCTGAAGCAAACATCTGTAGCTGCTGAAAATAATACTGAACATAATTAAGTGACACAAGATTGACAACAGTTTCCCTTGAGAATGCAAGGTTTTAAAATAAGTTTGGAGAGGGAAACCCACAAGTATGATAACGCCCATGCTGTCTGGGAGATCCTGGAAGCTGTAGTCCCCAAAATGGTTTATCCAAACTTTGTTCTTCATACAGAAAGCAACACATGCCAAAGGAAGAGGATAATATACAAACCTGCTTCCTAACAATCAATTTTTAATGGGGTTTCTTGGTTGGAAAGGGGGATTGTTACACATCCTTAAGAGATACAGTCCAGGCACTGGGAAATTATGCTTAATACATAGCATCTTCTATTCCTTCTATTTTTTTAAAAATGTGCATGAAGGTCCAATTGTCAAATTTTATAGGACAAGGCATATAAAAATATTTTCCTGGGCCATCTGCAATCAGAAGAAAAATCTCTCCGTCATGCTGGTTCAGGACATAGTTTTTAAAAAGCTTCCATTTGCTTCCAATTGGAACTTTTTATAAGGTGTACATGTGTATTTGTGGGTTGGTTATGGATGAGAAAAGAAAAAGTAAACCATTCTCTTTTCATACTGCTCTCAGGTTAATAACCCATCCATCTGTTCTAATTAATAGTGGGAAGCATAAGTTCAGACTCTTTGCTATGATTTATGTGTAACACATACCCTCCAACTATCTTTTATTTTTTTGTGTGTGTCAGGAGCAACTTGAGAAAATGCAAGTCACTTCTGTTGTGGGAGAATTGGCCGTCTACAAGGGAGCCATCCTGTGGGAGGCTTCTCTTGTGTCATTGCATGAGGAGCTGGAGCTGACAGATAGGAGCTCACCCCACTCCCCGGATTCAAACTACTGATCTTTTGGTCAGCAGTCCTGCTGGCACAAGGTTTTAACCCATTGCACCATTGGGGGCTCTTTCCAACTATCATGATTTGCTAGCAACAGCCCTAATCACCTGTTGTGTCATTTTTAGCTGCTTTTAAAATATTCCAATTTCTCTCTCCTCCTCCCACTTCCTCCTTTTGTTCTCAGTTTATTTCATTGTTAAAAATCGAGTTAAGTTTGCATCCACTTAACACAGCGGCAGAAGGGTCACAAGCCTGTTCCTGTCACTCAGGCAAATGCAAGTTACTGCAGCCTCTCCTAGCTTCCTCACTCATAATTTTTGCCATCTTGACCACACTCATTTTGCTTGACTGCTTTAAATATTGGAGGATATGGTGGCATGTAGTTTGGCACCAGGAAGTAAGCCAATATAATCATTTTTTTGCAAGCTCAATCACACTGAAAACATTACTAGTGTAAAACAAACTTACCTGGGGGCCTCTTGGTCCCTTTGGCCCAAAAGGGCCTTCTGTTCCCTATTGAAATACAAAGAGAAAGATGTAACAATTAATTGCAAGTTAAATTACACTTCCTGAGACATTTTATGCTTTCTACACTATCATTATGATGTTGTTGCTGCTGCTGTTTACCTTTGAGATATTTCCAACTTAGGACCAACCTAGTATGAACTTTTCATAGAGTTTTCTGAGGTCAAGAATAGATGACCCACCTAAGGTCTCCCAGTGAGTTTCCATAGCAGAGCAGAAGTTAGAACTCAGTTCTCCAAAGTTATAACCCAATACTCCAACCACTATTGTTTATTCCTTCAGTCACTTCCGACTTTTTGTGACCTCATGGACCAGACCATGACAGAGCTCCCTATCGGCCTTCGCCACCCCCAGGTCCTTAAAGGTCAAGCCAATCACTTCAAGGATAACATCCATCCAACTTGCCCTTGATCATCCCCTCTTCCTTCCATTTCCCCCAGCATCATGATCTTCTCAAGCTTTCCTGTCTTCTCATTATGTGGCCAAAGTACTTCATCTTTGCTTCTAATATCCTTCCCTCCAGTGAGCAGTTGGCCTTTATTTCCTGGAGGATGGACTGGTTTGATCTTCTTGTGGCCCAAGGCACTCTCAATTAAGCTCCAACCATTGCTTGTACTTAATTGTACTTAGAGGTAAAACAATGTCTCTGATGAAAGTGTCACACATCACAGATATTATTATTTAGACCACAGTCCTGTTGGATGACGTAAATATTACACCACCAGGCTGTGGATACTGTGGCAGGAGGTGCTTTCTCTCTTGAAGGCTACAACTTCTTCCGTTGACTCTTTGCTTCCTGTAAAAAGTGCATTACCACAGCATAATAACAAACTTTTGACACTGGGATAATATAACAGGGTTCTTATTTAGTGTTTTTCAATCACAATTGAGCATTTTGCCCGCTTTTCGTCAAAGTGGATTGTTTGTCCAATTCAGAAGCTTAACTAAACACAAAATGTCAAATTGCAGTAACCTTTCAAACAAAGAGGTGGGTTGAACAAAATGTGAGCTCTCTTGGCACATCCTATAGTCTTTTTAACTGTGCTTGCATTTTAATTGTGTGTTTGATTATTTATTAGGGATGCTAAATCTCAATCCACCAAGTCTTAACAGATTTCAAGAGCAACGAAACACTTTTTCACCATTTAGCTTCAAAATACTGAGATCCGAAGAGCATAATGGTATCTGATCAGTTGCAGAATTTCACTCCTAGATGTAAAAGTTCTCTCTCTTTTTTTACTTCAGCCAAGACTACTATTAAGAGAAGATTCTATAAATATAAGCTTGTGTGTGTTTGCATGTAGGGATGACTGCCTGCCAACTGTCTATATAGCAAGAAAAGAAATCAAATAATGCAAATATATACATTTAAGCTTGTTATTTGTACATTTAGTACATATTGATCCACATCCAATAGGAAGTAGGGATTTAAAAAATCTATCATCAATATCTTTGTATTTGAACTACTATGAATGGAATGATCTACCCAATGCTATGATTGCCCTTAAGGGAAAGACACATTTCTAAGCAATGGGAAACAACTAGTAAACACTGCTGAATACTATGCAATAAATCTTGGGTTTTTTTAAAAGTTGTGCCAGGACACACAGCAAGCAATTATACCACTGGCCTGATCCTTCTACACAGTAAATGTGCTTCTGAATTTTGGCACTGTGTGCTTTTTGTTTTTTTGCTCTATGCTTCTGTTATGTGTTCTCCATGTCTGGTCATTTTCCACTGGCATGATCCCGGCCTTGGAAAAAAAGGAGTCTTGTTGTACTTTTGGCAACGAGATCTCATCTTCCTTTTCAAGTGGGAATCCTGTGGGTGATGAGAACTTTGGTCTGTTCAGAGGTTTCTTCAGGTTCTTAATCCATTAGGGATTTTAATCCTTTGCAGATGTTCAATGAATTTCCCTTCCTTGTCCTCATTTTTTTTTTAAAAAAAAATGCCTGACAAAGCTCTTTCTTTGCATTTTTATAATCTTGACATATGGTTTCTATGTCCATTTTTTCTTTCCATCTTAACTGCCAGCTGCTAACTTATTTGCTTTTATCTTAACACACATTTCCTACTGCTTCTTCCCCAGCTGTTCCATGAACAGACAGAGCTATAAGAATGTGTTAAAAGTATTGTAATTCATAGGGACTTCATTTTGATTTTAGAAATTACACCATTTTAGCACTATTTCTATTACTTGTTAGCCACTATAGTTAGCTACAGCACTTGGGCTGCACAAAACAAGTAAGACTAGATTATCAACAAGGATAAACAAGGTTAAACCCTTGTGCTGGGAGGACTGCTGACCAAAAGGTTGGTGGTTCGAATCCGGGGAGCGGAGTGAGCTCCCGTCTGTCAGCTCCAGCTCCTCATGCAGGAGCAGATGTTTTACCATCACACAGGGTGGTAAAACATCTGGGTGTCCCCTGGACAGTGTCCTTGCAGACAGCCAATTTTCTCACACCAGAAGCGACTTGCAATTTCTCAAGTTGCTCCTGACACGTAATAACAGAAGGAGGTCAATGGCAGCTTTGAGAAAGTTGAGAGAATCTTGAGAGGTAGAGCTTCTCATCCTGTATGTCATAGTGGGCAAATGTGACTTTCATAAAATTTAGGACTGTCATTCCCATAATTCTTCACCATTGTTCATGCTGACTAGAACTCCTGGGATTTGTAAGACAGAAAAAACCTCTGAAGCATTACAGTTGCCCACATATGGTGTATATCAAGGATTGAGATACTTTAGGTTTGTAGAAGTTACTTTTGCTTTTCTTTACAGTCTTGAGGTCCATCCGTCAATTTTTGTCATAACTTATGGCAATCCTATGAATCTCCAAGAACTCCAGCCATTAACAGTTCTACTAAGGGAGTGGTTCTCAACCTGTGGATCCCCTGATGTTTTGACCTTCAACTCCCAGAAATCCTAACAGCTGGTAAACTGGCTGGGATTTCTGGGAGTTGTAGGCCCAAACACCTGGTGACCTGCAGGTTGAGAACTAATGTACTAAGGCAGGAGTCCTCAAACTAAGGCTCGGGGTCCGGATGCGGCCCTCCAAGGTCATTTACCTGCCCCTCGCTCAGGGCCGACCTAAGTCTGAAATGACTTGAGAGCACACAACAATAACAACAATCCTATCTCATCAGCCAAAAATAGGCCCACACTTCCTACTGAAATATTAATAATTTTATATTTGTTGAAATTGTTATTCATTTTAATTATTGCATTGTTTTTAAGTGTTTTTTTTTTTTGCACTACAAATAAGATATGTGCAGTGGGCATAGGAATTCATTCATGTTTTCTTCAAATTATAATCTGGCCCTCCAACAGTTTGAGGGACTGTGACCTGGCCCTCTGTTTAAAAAGTTTGAGGACCCCTGTACTAAGGTCTTGTAAATTCCATTCTTAACTGAGAGACATTTGTAAGTCAGATGTTTGTAACTCTGAAACTTACTGTACATCATCTCATGATAGATCCAAAGTACATCAGCTTCAGTTTAGCCATCTTCACTTCTAAGAGTTGACTTGTTCTGTCTTTTATCTTTTTAGTTGTCCATATTTTGACCTAATTGATTTTCTTCCTGCCGGTTTTTTTTCAGTGTCCAGCTATGGCACACATGCATAGTGATAAAAAAACACCATGACATATTTTTTAGTCATTGCCAGGTGCAAAATAGTGATTCAGGAAAATGGAGATCAATATGAAACAACATGCCCTTGACCAATAAGGTGTTTTCACAGAATATGAACACAAAGGGGAAGCTTGTAAACTCTGTTGAACTTACTCGGTCTCCTTTTAGGCCCGGTGTTCCACATTCTCCTCTATCACCCTGCAAAAATAGAACATTTTTAAATGACATGTTGCATCATGCAACTAGAGGAGAGAATAAATAGTTTTCATAACCAGTCCAGCCTCTTTGACCGTATCTTCCTCACCAGGTTTCATAGAATCATAGAATCAAAGAGTTGGAAGAGACCTCATGGGCCATCCAGTCCAACCCCCTGCCAAGAAGCAGGAATATTGCATTCAAATCACCCCTGACAGATGGCCATCCAGCCTCTGTTTAAAAGCTTCCAAAGAAGGAGCCTCCACCACACTCCGGTGCAGAGAGTTCCACTGCTGAACGGCTCTCACAGTCAGGAAGTTCTTCCTCATGTTCAGATGGAATCTCCTCTCTTGTAGTTTGAAGCCATTGTTCCGCGTCCTAGTCTCCAAGGAAGCAGAAAACGAGCTTGCTCCCTCCTCCCTGTGGCTTCCTCTCACATATTTATACATGGCTATCATATCTCCTCTCAGCCTTCTCTTCTTCAGGCTAAACATGCCCAGTTCCCTAAGCCGCTCCTCATAGGCTTGTTCTCCAGACCCTTGATCAGGTTTATTTGATTTTGTCTCATACTCCTGTCAAATTCTTTCTGACCCATTTGGGCCTCTTCAGACCTTCAGTTGTCACTTTTGAATTTAATCTGTCTTTTCTCTAATCAGTACTGTTTGCTTCTGAACCTGTGCAAATCCAGTATCATCCACTGTCATTATTCAGAAGTTATATTCTCAAACTTATGAAGCTTTCTTCTTTGTTATCTCTTTCCAGTTCTATTGTGTCTTTACAGTCCTTATTTCTTCAATGCATTCCCTCCCTAAATGCTTAAATATGTCATTAATAAACTACTTAGTATGACATTAAAAAGTATTACTTAACCACCTTACCTTGTCTCCTTTATAGCCAATACTTCCCTGTAAGCACAGTAACAAAAAGCTGTTTTACTGTGAGTAAATAAATATAAATGTCAAGAGTATGTTAAAAGAACTTTCTTTTTGATCAGTTTGAAGTTAGGTATTAAACAAGATGGAAAAGCAAGTGAAAATAACAAAATGCCACAATTTATAAAAGCAAATCACTGTATAGAAATAAGAATCTGCTGCTGACCAGATTAAAGAGATGCTGTTAAATCAGGTATGGGCAAACTTCGGCCCTCCAGGTATTTTGGACTTCTACTCCCACAATTCCTAACAGCCTATTGGCTGTTAGGAATTGTGGGAGTTGAAGTCCAAAACACCTGGAGGTCCCAAGTTTGCCCATGCCTATGTTAAATCATATTGTTATCATTAATTGTAGAATCATAACGACTGCTACCATTATATTCCTTTGCCTTACGAAGGCACCCAAGGCTCTGTATATAGTTGTCCCCATCCATGATAAGTGCACAACAACCATGTGAGGAACACTAAGCTCAACGTTAGCCCGTGGATTTTATGTATGAGTAAGGATTTGACCATGGGCAAAATAGGTGTAGCCTGATATTCTAATCAGAATCCCATACTTCTTGCCATTTGTTCTTGATTTTTGCAAATACTAACTAGATCTTCTCTGTGACATGAAAGATGGTAAGTTAATGGCAACTAGAAAGGTTGGGACACTATAACATTTCAACAAGTTATTAGAGCATATTAACCAATGGTATCAGGCAGGGAGGACACATGTTTAGGAGCACCATAAATCATGCAATTATATAAATTGCCTTTTGGCTAGACCATTAAAGGAATTGTCCAGGTACCTTTGGTCCCCTTTCTCCAGGCTCTCCTGTCTCGGCTTCCCCCTAGAAAGAGGTAGAAAGTAGTGAAAGCACACATTTCTGATTTGAAAACATTATTGCATTTATTTCCAACTGCCAAAGTGCAGGCCACAATGTTGTTAATGCTTTTTCTAGAGCTAAGAAAGTAGTCCCACGCAAAGGGATTTGCAGCTATATATTATAATTTCACTCTGATAATAGAAATTTTTCACAAAAAAATACTGTTAAACCTTTCCCTACAGGTCATGAAGTTGGACTTTTGTATCTTATTCAGTGGTTCCCAACCTGTGGTTTGTGGACCACCAGTGGGCCGCAAGAACGAAAATATGGTCCGCAGCCTCACCATTATAACACAGTTGCCTTGAAACCACCCGGCAACAAGAGTGACTGGTCTTATGAAATCCTTTTATTGTGCTGAGGTAATGAGGATGTTGGGAGGGGACAGGATGACTACCCATGAAAGATTACTACTCTCACATCAGTTCTCAATTATTAAATATGGTTTTCTATGGGTGTGCTGATGGTAACTTCTGGATGGCATATGTTCTGTATCAGGAACTAGAGCTGATGTAGTCTATCGAATGCTATTTTCTGAATCAGCACCCCAAATAATCAAACCAAATTGAAAGTTGACCAAAAACAGATTCATAACCCTTTTGGTACTAATGTTGGAGAGTGGTCTCTGTTCAAAAAAAAGGTTAGGAACCACTGAACTTATTGAATTATTCCTCTAAGATTTAAACCTTTTAAATAATCTTTCCTATTTCAAATAGGTTTCAATATTTTTCCAGTTGGGAAACTGAAAAAAAAAAATTATCGATTGAATTTTTCCTTAAATTCTCTTTTGTTTAATCTTATTCTCTTTCCCCCAAAATCTAAGCAAATTCTGGAGCTGTTTAACAGAAATTGCAGTTCCCCCCCCCCCCCAAAAAAGTTATTACTGACTTATCACAGCTTTCAGATCTCCTTGAACATTACAATAATATTTTGCAATGCAATTTTCAAGAATTGAATGGGTTGCTGTGAGTTTTTTTTTGGCTGAATGGCCATGTTCCAGGAGCATTCTCTCCTGACATTTAGTCTGCATCTGTGGCTGATATCTTTTCTTTTCTTACCTTTTCTCCTTTAGGTCCGCGTTCACCCTTGTCACCTCTACTTCCATGACCACCCTTTAAAAGCAAACAGAGAAAAATGTTATTAACAGAATCTGCCCAGCTATATCTTGATCCCATAGTAGCAGAGCTTCCCATCCCTCCTTTTAAATCAGTGTAATCTACATGATCTGTGTGTGGATTGAAACACTTTAAACGTAAGCTCTTGTCTAGATACATATCTTCTAGCTATTTTAGTACTACTAGTAGTTGAGTATAGGCAACTGATAACCACATCAGCCATAGAGCTAGTCTCTTTCCTTCTCCAATGCAAGGCAAAAAACCCTCCCCAGGATGCTACAATTCTTAGGTATTTGTATACATCTTTACTGCATAATTGATTGCTTCTCCATTGAAGAAGCTGGGAAAATCCTGACCAATAACGTCCTAGTGGCTATCAAGGAAGTCTTGGTAGAAAACTGGCTGTCATTGCCTGGTGCCAGAAGAAACTCCTAGGCTGCTACATTGTACAATACATCCACCTGACAGCTAGAGTAGTTTCAAGCTTCTTAGGCTGGAGCTACATGGCCATATAAAGTTTCTGAATCCAGATTATCTTCTTTGAACTGGATTATATGAGTCCAATTCAATTAATCTGGATACAGAAACTGGATTATATAATAGTGTAGGTTTGGCCTCAATCTTCAGGTGGACTGTTGGACATGGATTCACTCTGCTTGGCCAGGTGACCAGTACAGTCATGCCAACTATTTCTTCTGGCTTCTCTCTATTTTTCTGCTCAACCTTCTGGCTGGTTGCATTTATTTATTTATTTATTTATTTATTTATTTATTTATTTATTTACTTTGCTTGTATACCGCAGTTTCTCAGCCCGTAGGCGACTCAACGCGGTTCACAACAAGAGCAAAAAGTCAATCATAACAACATACAATTTAAAAACCTGCTACTTGCATGCTACTGTTCTACTCTTTCCCAACTGTGGCTGATTAGCCTGCTCAGGCCATGACTGAGACTTCCTCCTTTCTCCAACATGGGTAGTCCTACTGAGTTTTTTTCTCAGTGAGATAGATGCCTGGCCTATCTTTCTAGCCTCCACCATCAAGCTCTACCCTGGGGAATCCTTCATGCTTCTTTCACATGTCTAACGCTGCAATCAGAAAGTCTTACACCAAAGTAAGCTGTCATAGCAGTACTGAACTCAATGGCACTTTAGTTAGTTTTGCAGTCCTAGATGTATTGAAATCAATGGCACTTGCTGTTTACACTCTGGGAATATTTTTTTGTTATGAACTATAAACTAAAGCAAGCTTCTATTTTTTCCAATACTTACCTTTGGTCCTGGAGGTCCTTGGTCTCCCTTTTGACATTCACATTTCTTTCCACACTAGAGAAATAATATAATCGTGAATAGCAGAATTTCACATTTCAGACTAAGGAGGCACAATGTGAAATTGGCAGAAAAGCCACCCTTTGGGAATGAATTCTGAGAACTGACTTCTATTATTAACAGAACTGCAATTGGTTACTCAAAGCAAGTCGCAGAGAATGCAAGAAAAACACATTCAAGAACTTTATGTTGAGGGTATGTACCTGAACATGCTTATTTTAAAAGCTTTTTCAGGGAAACAGAAAAATTTCTAACTACTTTTGCCACTGTCTCCGTCCACTCTTATTAAGCTTACCACAGGGAAACTACAACAATAGAGCCACAAATCCACATTTAAGGCCTCATCTGTAGTATATAATCGAAGAAGGGATTAAATAAGGAATAAGATCCCCTAAAAATAAAATTAAAAATTCCCAACTTACCTGCACATCAAATAAAGCGGCCTGTAAAAAATGAAAACCAAAAATATAGTTTATTAATGTGACATTTTACTGATAGATTGGTTAGGTTAAAAAAACTTCCTTTTTCATTTTGAAAGTATGTATACACTGCTTTTCAGTTGTAAATTTTAAAAAACAGAAAAAAAGTAATGAAAATAAAGTAATGAATTGCACAACGTTCATCAAACATGCAATGTATTCCACATCATCCATTTTTTTCCCCAAAGCCCAAGCTACATGCTGTGTTATTGATATAGCTAAAGTGGTATTATCCCTCTATTAAAAAAGGAGGAGATATCACAGGGTTAGTGAAAGGTCTAGATTTTAAAATAGCAGTGGCAGCAGTAAGAAAATACATGAAGGAAAGGAAACCCAATGAGGTGTGAGAGAAACAGCCAATGAGTTTATGTTATCATCATTCTGAAGCTCGTCCAATTACTACTCGGTTGTGAGAGATCCAGATATGCTCGAGTAAAGCCATTTTCCTCTGTTTTCCTGTTATTCCCCCCACCCATGTCACCATTGTGGAAACAGCGGGGGGAAGGAGCATAACCAGCAAAAATGGGGAGAAATGATTTTCCTCCTTCAATTCCCCCCCTGTAAAATGGACTATCCTCTTTCTATATTATTATTATTATTATTATTATTATTATTATTATTATTATTATTATTATTTTCTTAATTATAGACATAAATTGAGTAATACAAATCTCAATAATGAAATTCCACTTACATTTTTCACTCAATATAATGTATCTTAACCTTACCAATACGAATTCCACCTTTATCAACCACTTGTGTCTAACCATTTCTCCCCCCCTTTGCCCCCCACTCACTGAGAACAGTTGTATCTTCAATTAAAGTATTATTTGAATTGATTGGTCATGAAGAGAGTGTGATTTAGTTTTTTATATTTTCTTTTTCCTTTTACTCTAGCTATCAGAGTTTCCCATTTGGAGTCCCAATTCTTCTTACAACCTGCTGTGTATTCCATCCCGCTTTCAAAAATATAATCCTGGAGCATAGTCTGCTAAATATTCAAACAATTTTTTAAGTTTCCATTTTTCCTGCTCTTTCCAGTCCAAGGCTACTGTTGCTTCAACTGCTTCTATTAGAAGTTTTATGATATCTGCCCATTTGTTAGTGCTGCTCTTACCCTCAATTTTCCGAATTAAAAATACCCTTTTATTCAGCTCTACTTTTTGCCCTAATAATTCTTCCATCAGTTTCTTTAATTTATTATAATTTTGTTGTATCTTGTCATAATCTCACCACATGTGCATAAAAGAGCCAATTTCGCTGCCTTTCGCTGCCTCTTGATGCTGTCCTAGTTATATGGGCTAATTTAAGTGGGGTTCTGTACCATTTTGTCAATGTTTTCCATTGTGTTTCTCTGGTCCTAATGTTTAATTTTTTTAATTGAATTAATCCAGTGTTTCATGTTTGACTTGTTGCAGTTTAAATCCTCTTTCCATATCTCAACTAATGTTTGTTTCAGTTTATATTGTTTTTCAACTATTTTCTTATAAGTTAAACCCATCAAGCCTTTCTCTAATTTCCATTTTAATATCTGGAATTTCCTTTCTCCTCCACTCTATAATCCTGTGTTTTAAATCATTCCATAACAGCTAATTGTCTGCACTTGTCTTTTATCATATCCCAATCTTTAATTGTCCCATCTGTGTTTAAGAGGTTGCCAATCAAACTCATTCCACTTTGCTTTAATGTTTTATTATTTTGCAAAATATTTGTTCATTTTTATTATCTAATATCCCTATTGGGAATATATCTATTTCATTTTTTGGGAATTTGTTTTGCCATTTTACCCAACATCATTGGACCCCTTTTAATTTATATTCAAACCTTATTGTCTATCCTTCTTTACAATCACAGGTAGTGGTTCCAACCATTTATCGTTTTCTCGATTCTGGCCCATCATTATGAATAATCAAAATTATCAAACAAAATTAAGATTGTTAAGATGATGGTTTTACCTATTTTTTATTTTTGTTTCAAGTACTATCATATAGCATCCCTAACAAAATAATTAAAAATGGGACAATTCAATTAAAATCTGAATAGTAGGGACAAACAAAAGCAGAACTGCCAATTCAGTATTTTATTCCTCGGAAGGAAATAGAGGATGGTGAGCCCTTAGTTGACAGAGTTATTTTGAGGCCTGTCAATTAACAATTGATAGAATTAGATCTTGATAATTCAAAAAGATGGGCCAATATTATTATATTTATTTTTGCCCCACTTTATCTTCCCAAAGGGGACTCTCTAGCACCCCTAGTGGCCTCCACCTGAATAATAGAACAGCATCCTTATATGAGTCCAGATCCTAAGACTCCTGTATCTTTTGAGATAAGGTGGAAAACAATGGAAAAGAGGGGACATATTTTTGGTCTCCTGGCAGATTACTATTTCAGTGCAACTTAAATGACACCATACCAATCCATGTTGGCTGATTTTCAGCTGATTCCTGGAGTCCCCACTTGCTTCAGTGGCATGGGAGAAGTGAACCTTCTCCATTTATAGGTAGTTTAAAAATCATTTTGCCAAGTTGGGGTGGAAATTACCCCCCAGAAGGCTTCAGGGTCACAAGAGAAGGTGCTCAGCAGCCAGATGTGGCTCTGGTCTGCACTTTGCCCATTCCTGCTTGGACAGAGAGAAGGAATATTTGGTAGCTATGGCAGAGTATAGTACAGCAAACCCAGTGCTATGTAAGAGTAGGAAATAGGAGATAAAATGCTTTGGATGCTCCAATATAGTTTAAAACGAGTGAAAGAAGCCCCTTACTTTTATTGTTGTTTGAGGTAATAAATCTTAGATAAAGCAGTAGATAGATAGACAAAAGAAAATTACCTAACTTTGGTAGAAGAGTCAATAATAATAATAATAACAACAACAACAACAACTGACTCTCGTGTGTGTATGTAGGGCATCTTGAGGGAAAGGGAAGCCTCATGGTGACCCCTTCTCTAACAAAGGGTAATTAAAGAACACTAAAGACTTTTGGGAAGAAGAGAGAAGTGACCTCTACATGTAGACAGGGAGCAAAATACCTTGAGTTACACAGATCTATGTAACAGTGGTGAAAACAAGACAGCAGGCATGTACTACAGGGTTTTTTCTGTCCCTAATTGCTCTATGCACACACACAAGTATTGCTGCTTCTTCACTACCAACAATAATAATTCCACCAAAGGAAACCTTTCCTTTCAGGCTGCTCTTTGGATGGGGGAAACTGCACGTGGTAGAACTTTTTCTTTTATCTCTTCCAGCTTTTGATCTTCCTGGACTTCTTAGCTAATCACATCCCGTTACATTATGTTTGTTCAATTATTCTTCTCCATTATAATTCCTTTCTGCTAATTTTTCTGGCCAAAACCAGGAAAAGAAACTTCTCTTTTAAAAAACCCAACTTTCTAGTGCTCCCTTGAGGTATCCTAGGATGACTTTTGATCTTCTGCAATGTCTGATGTTTCTAGCCTTCTGACCTTATCATATCCTGTTTTTCTTTTGTCTAAACAGCTAACTATAGAATCATAGAATCAAAAAGTTGGAAGAGACCTCATGGGCCATCCAGTCCAACCCCCTGCCAAGAAGCAGGAATATTGCATTCAAATCACCCCTGACAGATGGCCATCCAGCCTCTGTTTAAAAGCTTCCAAAGAAGGAGCCTCCACCACACCCCAGGGCAGAGAGTTCCACTGCTGAACGGCTCTCACAGTCAGGAAGTTCTTCCTCATGTTCAGATGGAATCTCCTTTCTTGTAGTTTGAAGCCATTGTTCCGCGTCCTAGTCTCCAGGGAAGCAGAAAACAAGCTTGCTCCCTCCTCCCTGTGGCTTCCTCTCACATATTTATACATGGCTATCATATCTCCTCTATGAATCCTTTCTCACTGTCTAACCTACAAAACAGTCTTTATGCTGTTTAAATGTTTATGTCCATCTTTTTTAGTATTTCTTCCATTGTAGGTCAATGCTTCCTTAGCTATCTGTTGTGAAGGAGCAGCAATTTTCTTTCTATTGTGCCAGGGAGTAGTATCATATTTGATTCTGCTGGCTATATATATTTCTTTCTTGGACACTCCCCAGAGACTCACAGCTGATAGCACATGGACCAGCATCAGTTGATAGACCACCATTTTTAATAGCATTGATAAAAACTTTGATTTAATTTCATTATTTCAAAAGATAAATATATTTTAAGCAGACTTAAAATGTTCAAAAATTAGTATGATATACAGAGCTTGGAATGTTACTTTAAAAACATGATTTCATTACAAACTTTAAGAAAGATATTCAAGATGCTGGATCCATTTGGAGGGCAGAGTTCAGGTACTTTGATTACTCTGAGTCAAGTGGACTCAGTGACATGGAAACCACCATCCAGCCATCAACTAGCATTAAAGCTAGCATTTGACCATGAAATAGGTCAATGAAAAGCATGCTTGAAAAATAATCTATGGCAGTGGTTCTCAGCTTGTGGGTCCCCAGATGTTTTGGCCTTCAACTCCCTGAAATCTTCACAGCTGGTAAACTGACTGGGATTTCTGGGAGTTGTAGGCCAAAACATATGGGGACCACAGGCTGAGAACCTCTGCTCTATGGCATCATGTCCTTGTCCTACCCTTTCCTATTCCTCAAAAGCACTGATAGCTAAGGATGGAGGAAGTTACATGTGAGGGCCAGGATGAAAATGGAAAGAGATGTGATTGTTAAAAGCAGTACAGTGCTATCCATCCCAAAACTATGGACAGGAGGACAATAAACAAGCCAAAAACATGTATGAATGTACAGCAAGCATGTTCTCCTTGTTCACATGCCCACACATACTCAATTTATTAGTTTGTCAAGCAACTGCAAGGGGAGAACAGAAAGAAAAGGGGGGAAATCAAGAAATTTAACTTTTGAAAGAGAACATACCAATTGGTTCCGTATTTTGTCCAGAAGGTTAGGATCATTCAAGATGAGGACAGGGGTCCCAGGAGAATTGCCAGATATTGAAAGTAGTTTGACTTTATCAGCAACATTTGAAAGGCCAATAGTAATAAAAGATATCCCAAATGTTCTGGCAGCTTCAGAGATGGCTTGGACATCAGGGCTCTTTGGATGGTCAATCCCATCTGTCATCAGGACAACCACTTTGACGCTGCTTTTACGGCCTTCAGTTTTGAAGAGTTGGGTGGCATTGGAAATAGCATAATAGGAATAGGTCCCATGGCCAATGTAAGTCATCTCCTTGACTCTCAGCTTAAAATCTGACAGGCTTCTCCACTCATCAAAATGGTAGTCGATTTTGACAGAGCTGCTGAACTGCATGATGGCTAGCTTGATGTCATACTTGAGGACCCTGGTGGGCTTCATAAGGAATACTTTATCACTCAGGAGGGTGATAAACTCCTTTTGCTTGTCAAACAGCACATCTTTGGCACTTTCTGAACTGTCCAGGACATAGACAATATCAATGAAGCAGACTGAATCTGTCCAAGACAAAATGGAATAGAGATTATTACAAGGATGAGCAAAGTAACTCCTAGAGAAGCACACTTATATGCACATCACTACCACAATGATATCAAAAAAATAGAAAAGGGAAAATAACAGCCAAGCCCAGATCCAAATCATTAATCCATACTAAATGGATTTTCAAGAGCTAGTGCAAGAATGGGAAAAGCTAAGTCTGTGGGCTGCATGGAACCTGCAAGGCTTCAAAGATTCTAACCTCAGTTATTCCCTTATGATTTTCACACACACCTTCAAAGAAAAAAAGGTAAAGGTAAAAGTAAAAGTAAAAGTAAAGGTTTCCCCTAACATTAAATCTAGTTGTGTCCAACTACAGGGGATCTCCATTTCTAAGACGAAGAGCTAGCATTGTCCGTAGACACCTCCAAGATCATATAGCCAGCATGACTGCATGGAGCACTGTTACCGTCCCACAAAAGCAGTACCTACTTATCTACCCACCTACATGTTTTCGAACTGGTAGGTTGGCAGAAGCTGAGTCTAACAGCGGGAGCTCAGTCTGCTCCCTGGTATCAAACCGCTGACCTTTCAGTCAACAAGTTCAGCAGCTCAGCAATTTAACCTGCTATGCCACCAGGGGGGCCCTAACTGCCCATAGATCCCATAAAACACAGAAGAGGCAGGGCAAAATTGGCCAAAACATGCAAGTAGGAATAACATCATATCACCTGTAGTACTTGCCTCGTGCAATCTAAGGTTGTTTCTGACTGAGGGCAGCCCTAAGGCAAACTTATAGCAGGGTTTTCTGTGTGAGATTTATTCAAGATTTATCTTTCTCTGAGCTGGGATAGTGTGATTTGCCCAAAAGTACCCAGTTGGTTTTCATGGCTAAGCAGAGATTTGAACCTTGGTAAACCAGACTTCTAGTCCAGTGCACAAAACCATTACAATTTACTGTTGGCACCTGCTCTCCCCTACTCTCATTTGACATACAAGTCTATCCAGATAAAATGTGTTAATACACCTAAACACCCCAAAGCCCTCTTTTTTACTCTATTCATATTTCCCTGCCTGGTTCATAATTATTCACCAAAATACTTCCAGTGAAAGAAGACCTATTATTTTCCAAGGCAAACCTTTTCATTGATAGGTTTTTCTAAGATCTATAGTTCATCTAACCATCTGATTATTCAACAATATGGATATCACCCAAACTGTTCAAACCATCTGGTTGTGCTCTTTGAAATTTTTTAAGTAGCATATTCCATATAAAATATCTGTTGAGTTTCTTAATTAGCAAAGTGCTGCACGTTTGGAATAAATAATAATATCCCTTGTTAGTTCACTATTGATGAAAATATGTGAAAAGAATCTGAGATGTGTTACCAAAGATACAAAAAGCTTGTGTATGAAGTTATCAGTCCCCTTTGGAAATCATTCTTGTAGACTTGGAAACATTTCATGGACTCTTTAGCAAAATCTAGGAAAATGGCTTTACCCAGAAGATTGTCTTTTCTTGCTAGAGCACTTGGCCTTTGTCCCTTCCTTCTGTTTTGTCCATACACTAAGCAGTTCATAGCAACAGCCAAAGCCAAAAGGCAAAAGACGGAATGTTTTTTCCACATAGTGACTGGTATCCCAAATCACTGCAGACGCCCCTGGTAATAAAAAAGAAACAAAACAAAAATAAGTATTAATTCCTCATATAACATAAATCAGTGACATAAATGAAACTGCACATAGAACACCTTTGATAAACAAATAATAGAATATAACAACATTTAACATGAAAATAAATTACTTATGCCTAACTATGATTCTCAATCTCTAGAAATCTTTACATATTAGATATGAATGCTTTACAAACAATATTTATGAGCCAAAAGCTATACTGTTTCTTGCATTTTTTTAAAAAAAGTATCGATGTATTGCATTTTCAAAACTATTTATCAGAGATGTCATTCTGATGAATGTACAAAGGTGGGTTTAAAATGATGCTGTCCCTGCTACATTTTTGATATTATATTTCAGTCAACTCTACTACAAATTCTTTGTGTAAATACTTCAGAAATCTACCTCAATACAATTAGAAGTGATATGGACTGCACATTATTTATATAACCTTATCTTTTAGAAATAAAAACATTTGGCAAAGAAAGGGTGTTTCTATATTTGCAGTTATTGTTGCTGAATATTTATAACCCATTCCATTAAAGAATAAGTGTCACAGTAGTGGTATTACTGTCTGACATGCCCATAATGTATTAGACTGCAAAATGAAGAACTTACTTCAACTGGCCAATTATTTGTGCACAATTCTATATTATTCAAAAATTAATCCCATTGAGTTCGGTATGGCTTACACACAGGAAACTGATACCCAACATGCAGAGAATCAATTAAAGGTACAATCAATATGTTTATGTCACTAATAGAAAAGGTTTCAACAAATAAATACCACTTTTGACACCTTAATCTTACTTATAAAATATTATTAAAATTAACCTAATAGCTGTTTGAAAATATTGATGCATTTATTTCCAAGGGCACCAGTTTATTATAATACAGTTCTTTATTTCCAGTTTTCTTACATTACTTTGGTAGTAGATATTGTTACTGCAGTTTTGATAACTTACCTTAAATAACACTGGACCAGCACACTGGAGAATAAATAAGCTGTAAACAAATTTGATCTGAAAAATCCATCCGTGTGTTTGTTGTATGTTTTAATTTTTTTCTTAAAGGTAATAGTTTGTAAATAAATAATTAGTCTTGATGCAAATAAGGGTACCTTGCATCTGGCTCTTACATGATCTTTTATTCATGTTTTAGTAGACCAAGTTGAATGCAGAGTGGTTAGGCATTCGGCCAGATCTGGTAATCTGGGTGGGAGCACTGCACACTTTAAAGGAACAGCTTTTCTGAGAGTTTGTTTTATAAACAACAAGTTCACTGCTGTTTACTCTTTAGTAAATGTGCATTATACTTTGTGGTAGCATCTTGTATTTCAGTCTATGCAGCTCTCTGCTATGCTTCTATTGGGATCCATTACATTTATGGGTAGTTTAAAAAAAGTAACAGCCACAGTCAGTGCTTGAAAATGTCAGCATGAAAATGCATAATGAATTTTCACACATTTTTTAAAAATTTAAAACTGATGGGAAAATGGGATAAACTGTTTTTAAGTCTAGATAAAAGTGGAGTAAGTGAAATTGAAATTGATGGATACCTAATGATTTGCAGTCATCTGCACAGAGTAGGGCACAGCTATTTAACATGGCAAGTCTGTCTCTGTCTACTTGGAGAAAATCCCAGCTCTCAGTAGGACTGGCTCTTTATTCAGTAAATTCGGGATTGCAACAAATGCCTGCTTCCTATAGCAGCCAAGCTTCATGGAGATGCTTTGGCTAGGTTTGGCAAGGTGCAGGTAAGACAACTATTGGTCAGGACCACAGACAGCTCACTGTGAAGCTTTGATCCAAGAACTGGCCTCATATCACTTAGGGCCCTTCCACACAACCATATAATCCAGAATATCAAGGCAGAAAATTCCACAATATATGCTTTGAACTGGAGCCCCTTTCACACAGCTGAATAAAATCCCACATTTTCTGTTTTGAACTGGAAAATAATAATAATAATAATAATAATAATAATAGGTTGTTGTAGGTTTTTTCGGGCTACAACAACCCAGTAATTCCGGCCATGAAAGCCTTCGACAACAACAACAACAACAACAAAAATAATAAAAATAATAATAATAATAATAATAATAATAGCACTTTATTTATATTCCACCCTATCTACCCAAGGGGACTCAGGGCGGATCACAGAACACATACATGGCAAACATTCAGTGCCATTTTTTGGACAAGACAAAGACAGACAGAGACAGAAAAGAGGTATGTTGTGTCAACATCCAGCTTTATGGTGCCATGGAAGTTGTGCTCGAATCCAGCTTGAATCCAGCCACTTGGGGGGGGGGGCGGGGGGCTGTCACTCCATCCTTTATGATGAAGAGCTATCGGGACTTCCTCCTTTTGGTCACTGGCATTTTATGATCTCTTTCTTTATGGTGTTAGTAAAATACCCCCCCCCCCCCGTAGTACCTAATTTTTCTAATTACAGCTAAGCTGTTTTCGAACTGCTTAGGTAAACAGTGAACTGAGCTCACAGTCAGGTGCTCACACCATCGGCTTTAAACTGGCCACCTTTCAGTTGGTAGATYTTATCATTGCTGGTGATTTACGAGGTGTGGACTCTGAGAGTGTGGACTCTGATGACCCAGTTCAAAGCAGATATTGTGGGATTTTCTGCTTTTATATTCTGAGTTATATGGCTGTTTGGAAGGGCCCTGGGTTAGTTGAGTCCACACTACCATATATTCCAGTTCAAATCAGAACATGTGGGATTTTATTCAGCTGTGTGGAAGGGGCCTCAAGCCCACCGATAAGCAGTTGAAATCAGGAATGGAGAATTTTTGGCTTTCTAGGTTTGGTCTGAGAGCTTCTATCATTGCTTACTCTTGGCCATGGTGTGTAAGATTCACAAGCACTATAGCTTCAAATATACAGAGAGCCCAAAGTTCCTTAACCCAACATAATTACTTTTTGAAATCAGGAGCTTGCTTCCTTGAGAAGTGCCTACATGGGAACTCAAGTGTCTTCATTCTCCCCTATATTCGTTTGTTTTTGCAGAACTCCAGGAAGCTTTGAAAAAAGGTCTTCAACATCCAAGGATTTGAGGGGAGATATATTTTCACAGCAACATGGAATAACATCCAGGCATGGGATAACATCCAGGCAGACAGCCAATTCTCTCACACCAGAAGTGACTTGCAGTTTCTCAAGTCATTCCTGAAATGAAAAAAGCGCATGGGATGGAGACATCATCTTCAGTCTCTAGCAAGGTAGCAGTTCTGTGATAGTTCTGGAACTCAGTCCTCCTCATCCTATATGTAAGGCCCAGGACCCAAAGATAGACCTATTTCTATGAGCTTGGAAAAGTCAAATCTTCAAGCAGCATGATTATAGGACATGAAATTCAAGAAAATTATATTTCCAAGTTCAGGTTATAGATAGGGTCTGCTGCAATGAATACAACCCCCTGCCATTATATTTAATATGGCTTCTTGTTCAGCTAAAATGTGCAGTGAAAACAGTAGCAAATATTATATACTATCAGAAACATTTAGATTTAGATTGGCCACTACTTTAAATGGTGTTACAACATTGGCTGCACTTCAGGCTACAGTTATCCACATTTCGGTTTTACAAATGCAATGTACCTGGTTTTTACTTAACTGCATTTTTACAGCGACTAGTTGTATATGAACTGGATAAATATTGATCTTTAGTACTTAGCAGGCTTATAATTTTGGTTCTGTGAAATGTCTTTCTAAACTTCCCAGATGTTTTTGGGTTTATTTTAGCATAGAGAGGGCAGACATCAAGTAAAGATCTTGTGGGAAAACATAAGGCATGCAGGCAATAGAGCAATTCCTCCACATATGCATAAGGATCTTTTAAAATCTGAATTCATTCAGATTCCTAAACATTAGAGTTCTTTCATGTCATCACCAACTGAATGTTTGATTCACTGTCTTAGACAACTACTGTGCTATGGTCCATATGTGTCAATTCTTTTTACACTGAGTTGGATGTTATCATGAATGTTGATTCTTTTTCAGTGGGAATAAAGCTGCATATTTTGTGGTGTGATTCTAATAGACTCCATATGGTGATAATTTGTTAGCAAGAACTCTTCCAGTTTTCTGGCTATTAAACACAAGCCAATTTTATAATTCTTTACAGTTTGACTGCTTTTTTATTGTGCTATCTGCTACTATGTGTTATTATGCTAACAAATGTGTCTTGGATTGGTTTATATATTTCTTTGCTACGTTAGGGAAATGTTTCATTATTGGTTATCATATATTTCTGTCTTTGAGTCAATGGCAGAATATTAAAATCTTTCCCATACTTTGCATTGAAGGGGTCAGTAAGATCATACAGACATTTTCACATGATGCTGTTTGAGATAGTAGGGGGCGCCATCTGAGGTTGAATATATGGGATAGGCATTACACTGTCTGAATATTTAAAAAGTAATAATATCCAGATCCAATATTTTCTTACCTAGCACTAATCTAGTCGCAGGTATGGATCTGGAGTTTGTTGGAGCATATAAGGAATCAGTGAGTGTGTGTGTGTCAACTGTAAAATAAGACACATGAAGATAATTGGTCAGGCAATGCTTGGGGAGAAAGCTGAGCTTGGTACTTTTGCATACTGTTACATTTTTCTTCAGGCTTGAGCTATGCAGGGACAGAGAGAGAAGAGAGAAACAGAGAGAGACAGAGTTTGGAGTGTGCTCTCACTTCATGGGCTACTGAAGGCGTTTATCCATATGGACAAAAGAAAGACCATTTAAAATATCTCATAAAAGGACATTGAGTTAATGCAACTGATCACATTGTACATATGTTGTTCTGAACTATGAAGAGTAAACTACTTGTTCTTTACTGTTCACCTGCGTGGCATATTTTCTTTCTCTGGCAAGGCAGTGTGTGGGCTGATCAAATGTGAACTACATGTGGTTTATTTTACATTACGCTACAGAGTTTAGTTACTTTAATCATCCGTTTACTTTCAGAGTCATTAATGGGCTGTTAAACAATATATTTAAAAGATATCCATGGCTACATTGGTCACAAGATCCTCATGGTATTAGATTCTATTTGATCATATCCCACTGCTTGGCACAAAATATGTTGACAAATCCCTTTTCCCAGACTGATCTCCAAACTCCAAAGCCTGTGAATCCTGTCATTTGCCCAGCCCTTGTTTCCCCAATTATTTTCTTGCTTGATTGGGTTGCTGGGATTACCTTGTGATAGCATTGTTGTGTATTTTAGGTTTTCATATATGTGGCCTGGCTCCAATTTAAGCTTATCAGAAAGAGACAGATTAAAACCACATGAATAGTTTTATTGTACACAATAAGATAATATAGAAAGCTCTATCATTCAATTTGTTAAGCTTCCCAAAAACATTACGTAGTTCTCCTTTGTTTCCCGAATCCAAAATTATTGAGTTTGTGTCAGATCAACATTCTTTGAGTTCCAACTTCAAGATCTGACTGTATGAAATCCACATTATGAATGGCTTTATCTTAGGCAACTCTCTGTCTTTTTGGTACAATCTGTTCCCCACAATCCTATAGGGATACAGTAGGTGACTAGCAAGAACTAGAGCGGAGTTTTTCACAAACAGGAAAGAGGATGTTACAGCTGCAGTCCTACAGCAATGTGTTGGTTCAGCTGCTTGAACTGTTGTGAGATGCCTGCATGGTATTGCTTTCAGAATATGCACAATACTGAACAGTATAAAAACATAGTAGATCTCAGTCTGTTTGATGTTGTTTCTACTATTAGCCTGAGACTCTGTGCAAATTGCCTTTCCCATTGCTATACGCTCCACCTCTCCTGATTTGCTAAGAACAGTCCCAATTAATCCTCTGTTCTATTTTTTCCAGCTGTTTTCAAAGTTTTCCTTTTTCTCTCATTTTTCCTCTCTATCCTCACCTTTATCAGTGCAAACTTTGGGTGCATTTGCACAGTAGAATTAATGCGGTTTGACACCACTTTAACAGCCATGGTTCAATGCTATGAAATCATAGGCGTTAATAGTTTTAGAAGGTCTTTAGCCTTCTCTGCCAAAGAGTGCCGGTGCCTCATCAAACTACAACTCCCATGATTCCAGAACATTGAGCCATGGCAGTTAAAGTGGTGTCACTCTGTATTAATTTTGCACTGTACAATTAACTTAGCAGGAGGAAGAGGAGAGGTGGAGCCTTGCTTTTCTCCATGGGTGCAGGCAAAAGCAAACTGCTGCAGCATCTCCAAGCTTTTGTGTTCTCCCTGATTAATAATTTTGGCATCTTAATCAAACCCTGATGTTCCTTAATCACATCCGAAATGTCAAAATGTATGAATTGCAGTGATAATTGGTGTATGTTTTTTCAGGCAGACTTAGAAATTGACTTCTCAAGCGCAAGAGGTTTAAGAGAAATTGGAATAAGCATGTCGGAAGTTCCCAAAATGATTATGTCTTCCCTGCATCTCTGTTCTGCTGGTGATCAGTGGATTTGAGCCCCACCTTGTGGTTTCCAAAGGCATTTCTTTTCATTCAGGGCCTATTAATCATGAATTTGAAACTCTTGTGATTTAATCTTTGTTCTATGTTTTTTAATATGTGTTTTATAGAAATACATTTCAATAGGTGTATGTTTATGACGATCATGTGTTGTAACCTGCCTCGAGCTATGAGGAGAGGCAGGTAAGAAATTATTTTACTGACACAAAAACATGGTATGACACAGCAAACGATATATATATGCTGGATTTCATATCACAAAATCACAAATCAAATACTTTCCAAGTGTTTAGGACTGTGTGATGTATTTGCAAATGATGCGCACAAATCCAAGTAATGTGGCCTTTGGCAGTTGACAGATCATGATTTTGTTTGTTGTTTTCAAATGCCGGCTGAGATCTTTTAGCACGGCACCCAGTGTGCCAATTACCACTGTACTGGTTTATGCCAGAGCCTTTGCGGTTCCAGTTTGAGGTCCTGATAATGGCTGAGTTTTTCCTGTTGTTTTTCATCAATTCGACTGTCACCTGGTATGGCGACATCAATAATCCAAACTTTTTTTCTATTATTTTTTTTTCTATTATTGTTGTTGTTGTTGTTGTCGTTGTTTAACCCCCTAAGAATAAAATAAAAGTGGTCTGTGTTTTGTCGAAGGCATTCATGTCTGGAATCATTGGGTTGTTGTGAATTTTCCGGGCTGTATGGCCGTGTTCCAGAGGTATTCTCTCCTGACATTTCGCCTGCATCTATGGCAGGCATCCTCAGAGGTTGTGAGGTCTGTTGGAAACTAGGCAAGTGGGGTTTATATATCTGTGGAATGTCCGGGGTGGGAGAAAGAACTGTTGTTGTCTGCTTGAGGCAAGTGTGAATGTTGGAATAGGCCACCTTGATTAGCCTTTCATGGCCTATCAGTTTCAAGGTCTGGCTTCTTACTGCCTAGGGGAATCCTTTGTGGGGGACGTGAAAGTGGTCTGATTTTATTAAAATATTGATATCCCACTTTGTATCATGGGATATTAGGGTGCCATATACACATAGAATCCCTAGAGTGGAAGAGACCTCATGGGCCATCCAGTCCAACCCCCTGCCAAGAAGCAGGAAAATCACAATCAAAGCACCCCCCAACAGATGGCCATTCAGCCTCTGCTTAGAAGCCTCCAAAGGAGCCTCCACCACACTCCGGGGCAGAGAGTTCCACTGCTAAACAGCTCCCACACTCAGGAAATTCTTCCTAATGTTAAGGTGGAATCTCCTGTTTTGTAGTTTGAAGCCACTGTTCCATGTCCTGGTCCCCAGGGCAGCAGAAAACAGGCTTGCACCTTTGCTTCCATTTTCCATACCATTTCCACCTTGATTTTTACTTACAACTTGTTCAAGGTCACAACCGAGGTTAAACCTAACCAGGTTTACTTGGTTTTCTATTTCAATGCTCTGATTACTCTTAGGTAAGTGGCCATAAGATTAATTGGAAGTAAGTGGCTGCAAATGGGATTCTGCCTTATGGATAGAGCAATTATATGAATGTGTATTTGGCCATAGAGCTCTGCTGAGGCTTATTGCTAGGGTGGGTCCTATATAAGACCTAATGTAGGAATCAGCCTCATTGAACCCAGCAGAGTTCTATTGCTCCTTTTTCCCCCTGTGTCAGGAGTGACTTGAGAAACTTCTGGTGTGAGAGAACTGGATGTTGCCCAGGGGACAGCCAGTTGTTTTGATGTTTTACCATTCATTTTAGTTGCCCTCCTCTGGACACCTTCCAGCTTGTTGATACTTCTCTTGAATTGTGATGTCCAGAATTGGACACAGTATGAGGTCTGACCAAAGCAGAATAGAGTGGTACTCTGACTTCCCTTGATCTAGACCAGGGGTCCTCAAATGTTTTAAACAGAGGGCCAGGTCACAGTCCCTCAAACTGTTGGAGGGCCGGATTATAATTTGAAAAACAAACATGAATGAATTCCTGTGCATGCTGCACATATCTTATTTGTAGTGCAAAACACTTTAAAACAATACAATAATTAAAATGAAGAACAATTTTAATAAATATAAACTTATTAGTATTCCAATGGGAAGTGTGGGGCTGCTCTTGACTGATGACTGATTGTTGTTGTGTACTTTCAAGTCGTTTCAGACTTAGGTTGACCCTGAGTGAGGGCTAGGTAAATGACCTTGGAGGGTCGTATCTGGGCCCCGGGCCTTAGTTTCAGGACCCCTGATCTAGACACTATACTCCCTCTATTCTGCTTTGGTTAGACCACATCTGGAATACTGTGTCCAATTCTGGGCACCACAGATATTGACAAGCTGGAATGTGTCCAGAGGAGGGCGACTAAAATGATCAAGGGCCTGGAGAACAAGCCCTATGAGGAGCGGCTTAAGGAGCTGGGCATGTTTAGCCTGAAGAAGAGAAGGCTGAGAGGAGATGATAGCCATGTATAAATATGTGAGAGGAAGCCACAGGGAGGAGGGAGCAAGCTTGTTTTCTGCTTCCTTGGAGACTAGGATGCGGAACAATGGCTTCAAACTACAAGAAAGGAGATTCCATCTGAACATTAGGAAGAACTTCCTGACTGTGAGAGCCGTTCAGCAGTGGAATTCTCTGCCCCAGAGTGTCGTGGAGGCTCCTTCTTTGGAAGCTTTTAAACAGAGGCTGGATGGCCATCTATCAGGGGTGATTTGAATGCAATATTTTAAATATTTGAATGAAGCTTTTAAACAGAGGCTGCATTGTTGGTTCGTGTTCAGTTTGTGCCTTTAATTTTTAAAATTCGACGAAAGTGAATTTAAGTAATTTTACAAAATCAATACAAAATGAAATAAAATTTAGAATTTAGAATCCCCCCCTCAAAAAAACCCTAGAGTAAGCCAAAACAAGCAAACAAAAGGACACTGAATCTAGGTAATAAAGTCAGCAAATGTTAGGCTGAGATAGTAAATGTCGGGAGGCTTTTCTCGACACCACATCTTAAATACTGGTCAAATGCCACTATTCTGTCATTTATTTTGCCAGGAAAAAAATTCGCATGTCCCCGCATGGGGAGCTGGAGCTGACAGAGGGAGCTCATCCGCGCTCTCCTCGGATTCGAACCTGCGACCTGTCGGGTCTTCAGTCCTGCCGGCACAAGGGTTTATTTAACCCATTGCGGAGGCTCCTATGTGGACAGCCGGAGGCTCCTATGTGGAGAGAATTGCTCTGTCCATAAGGCAGAATCCCACTTGCAGCCACTTACTGACTTCCTCCCCTCTGATCAGGGTGGGTCCTAGAGAAGACTTACTCTGATCAGAGGGGAGGAAGTCCCGCCCACCTCAAAGTCCTCAAAGTCACTTCTCTAGCCACGCCTTCCGGATGTAGTTGGATTTGACGCCGGAAGTGGAAGCCTCTCTACAAGCTGGAGGCGCTGCCCTAGTGCCAGGGCTTTCCTAGATCTATGTCTGAGCCCTGGCCTTTCTCTTCAGACTGCTGTTGCTTCTTCACTCGAGGGTCCGAGTCCTGGAAAAGGGGTCAAGGGGTGAGTCCCTCCCTTTCTCCCTTCCTCCCCCCAAACTCTATTTTTACTTTCTCCCCCCTCCTTCCCTCTCCTCTTTCTCTCTCCATCGCTCACCCCATTTCCCCAGTTGCTCTCTATTTCTCTCCCCAGTCTCTTGCTTCTCCTTCTCTCTGTGTCTCCTTTTCTCTTTCCCTCCTTTTCCAAACTTTTCCCTCCCTCCTTCTCTCCCCACCCCCCTATCATCCCCCTCTCTTTCCCCAATCTTTTTCTCTGGGTGTCATAAGGAAGAGAGAGCAGGCTTGTTTTCTGCTGCCCTTGAGACTAGGATTCAGAGCAATGGGTTCAAATTACAGGAAAGGAGATTCCACCTGAACCTTAGGAAGAGCTTCCTGCCCCTATGAGCTGTTAAACCAGGGGTCCACAAACTTTTGGACACAGTATGAGGTCTGACCAAAGCAGAATAGAGTGGCACTCTGACTTCCCTTGATCTAGACCAGGGGTCCACAAACATTTTAAACAGAGGGCCAGGTCACAGTCCCTCCAACTGTTGGAGGGCCGGATTATAATTTGGGGGGAAAAAATGAATGAATTCCTATGCACACTGCATATATCTTATTTGCAGTGCAAAAAAAAACACACTTAAAACAATACAATAATTAAAATGAAGAACAATTTCAACAAATATACAATTATTAGTATTTCAGTGGGAGGTGGAAACAGATTAAAAACTCAGGCGAGATAAACATGAGATAAACAAGGACAGATTATTTGCGGAGGAGAGCTCGTTTCAGTGGAGGTCGTGAGAGATAGGATTGTTGTTATTGTTGTGTGCTTTCAAGTCATTTCCGACTTAGGTTGACCCCGAGCAAAGGCCAGGTAAATGACCTTGGAGGGCTGCATCTGGCCCCTTTGCCTTAGTTTGAGGACCCCTGTGTTAAACAGTGGGACTCTCCTCTTCAGAGTGTGGTGGAAGCTTTTAAACAGATGGCCATCTGTCAGGGATACTTTGTGCTTTTCTTGCATGGCAGGGGGTTGGACTAGATAGCCCATGTGGTCTTTTCCAACACTATGATCCTTGTATTGTCGAAGGCTTTCATGGCTAGAATCACTGGGTTGTCATATGTTTTCTGGGCTGTATTGGCATGTTCCAGAAGCATTATCTCCTGACGTTTTTCCTGCATCTGTGGCAGGCATCCTCAGAGGTTGTGAGGTCTGTTGGAAACTAGGCAAGTGGGGTTTATATATCTGTGGAAGGTCCAGGGTGGGAGAAAGAACTCTTGTCTGAGGTAGGTGTGAATGTTTCAATTGGTCACCTTGATTAGCATTTGATGGCCTCACAGTTTTTAGGTGTGGCTTGCAACTGCCTGGGAAAATCCTTTGTTGAGAGGTGATTAGAACCTCACAACCTCTGAAGATGCCTATCACAGATACAGGCGAAGCGTCAGGAGAAAATGCTTCTAGAACATGGCCATACTGCCCAAAAAACTCATGACAACCCTCTATGATTCTTCCTTCTGCCTTCCCTCCCTCTCCTCTACTCTCAGTCTCCTTTGGGTGTGTGTGTGTGAACCTTCACAAAGTTTTCTAGACAATATATTTCAAAAGGGCAGGGAGGTGCCTACGGCTTCATCTAGGGCTGAGAAAGTGTGCCTCACATAGTGGGTTTCATTGACTGAATGGGGGGTTGTGACCCAGGTCTCTTAGACTTTCAGACGGAAACCTTGAGCAAATTGTCTTTCCCATTGCCATATGCACCATTTCTCCTGATTTGCCGGGGATAGTCCCAGCTGATCTTCTGTTGTCTCACTTCTTCGGCTGTATTAAAAATGTCCCAGGCTGCATCATCAGAGTGTAACAATAGCCTCAGTACACTTTAGTTAGTTTTGCAGTCCTAGATGTATTGAAATCAATGGCACTTTAAAGCCCCTTCCACACAGCTGAATAAAATCCCAACATTATCTGCTTTGAACTGGAATATATGGTAGTGTGGACTCAGATAACCCAGTTCAAAGCAGATATTGTGGGATTTTCTGCCTTGATATTCTGGGTTATATGGCTGTGTGGAAGGGCCTTTAATTTCTCCCTCTCTTTTCACTTTCCCTCTCTTTTCACTTTCCCTCTCCATCCTCAACTTTCATTGACTGAATGGGGGATTGTGACCCAGGTTACAATCTCAGAGTTAGCACTGAGACTTCAGTCACTGCAAATTTTGGGTGCATCCACACTAGACTTAAACCAGTTTAGCACCAGTTTAATTGTCCTGACTCAACGCTATGGAATCATGGGAGTTGTATTTTGGCAGGCCCCAGCACTCTTTAGCAGGAAGGGCTTAGCACTTTGGGAAACTACAATTTCCATGATTCCCTAGCATTGAGCCATGGCTGTTTGAGTGATGTCAAACTGCATTCATTCTACAGTGTAGATGCATCCATAGTCCAGCACTCAAACATTTGCACACATTGGGTGTCATTGTTACAGCCTGAAGTCTCAGGGAAGGGTAGGTCAGTAGTCTCAGATGCACTTGGCTTTATAGTGGAATCCAACCGCACCTCCATTTTTATTGATGGTCTAGTTGGATGGCTCAGTAGTCAGATATGTATGAGAGAAATTGCACAAAAATATATGTATGTGTGAAAAGATAACCGGATTAGATTTTAATTAATGTCCATACTGGCATTGAGTGAGGAGAAATCTGAAGGATTCAGAAAGGTTTTAATATAACTTGACAATTCTGGGATTTGCAGTTTGGTGGGACACCAGCACTATTTGGCAGAGAAAACTAAAGTTCATTTAAAACAGCAACTCCTGTGATTCCATAAGCACTGAGCAATGACAGTTAAAGTGGTGTCAAACTGCATTATTTCTACAGAGTATATGCACCCTTCGAAGCTGGAAGTGTATTTGAGGTCTTAATATTAATATATTCGTATTTCCTTTCCTTTTTTCAAAGAAAGCACTGTCCATATGAATGATCCCAGCCCTGTCCTTCCAACACCTTTTTCAAGTCCTTGCATCCATTTGCCATAAGAAGATATGAGTGGCTCCAAACCTGACATTCTTTGGGCTCCACACCATGTGGATAGGTTTGTCGTGTGCGATTCAGAACTCAGTCTCTACCACATTGAATCTGCTGTAAGTTCAGAACTGAAAGCAGGTTCTCTGCGTTTATCTGAAGAAACAACAGCCACTCTATTGTCTATCAATTCAGACACTCCATATCTGAAATGTGTAGCTTGGTATCCCAAGTACGACCCTGAATGTCTTCTGGCAGTTGGGCAGGCCAACGGCCGAGTCGTGCTTGCCAGTCTCGGCCAGGATCACAATTCAAAGTGCAAGGATTTGATAGGAAAAGAGTTTGTTCCTAAACATGCTCGACAATGTAACACTCTTGCGTGGAATCCATTGGACAGTAACTGGCTTGCTGCTGGCCTGGATAAACACCGAGCTGACTTTTCAGTACTGATCTGGGACATTAGTAGCAAATACACTCCAGAAACTCCAGTTAGCACTGAGAAAGTCAAGCTGTCAGCAGGAGATACTGAAGCAGGACTGGTTGTAACCAAACCGCTTTATGAATTAGGACAGAACGATGCTTGCCTTTCTCTTTGTTGGCTTCCAAGGGATCAGAAACTCCTTTTGGCTGGAATGCACCGAAACCTGGCTATCTTTGACCTTCGGAATACAAGTCAGAAAATGTTTGTGAATACTAAGGCTGTTCAGGGAGTAACTGTTGATCCGTTCTTCCATGATCGTGTCGCTTCCTTCTATGAAGGTCAAGTGGCCATATGGGACCTGAGAAAATTTGAAAAGCCTGTGTTAACCCTAATGGAACAACCCAAGCCTTTAACCAAAGTAGCATGGTGTCCTACCAGGACTGGACTACTGGCTACTTTAACCAGGGATAGTAATATTATCAAGCTGTATGATATGCAGCACACTCCAACGCCAATTGGGGACGAAACTGAACCTACAATCATTGAAAGAAGTGTGCAGCCTTGTGAACACTACATCGCTTCTTTTGCATGGCATCCTACAAATCAAAATCGCATGGTAGTTGTGACACCCAACCGGACGATGTCTGACTTCACAGTGTTTGAAAGGATCTCTTTGGCATGGAGCCCAGTGACCTCATTAACGTGGGCCTGCGGGAGGCATTTATATGAGTGCACAGAGGAAGGAGAGGGAAGTTCCTCAGAAAAAGACATTGCCACCAAAATGCGCCTAAGAGCTTTATCCAGGTATGGTCTTGACACAGAACAGGTCTGGAGAAACCATGTTCTAGCTGGAAATGAAGACCCACAGCTGAAGTCGCTTTGGTACACTCTGCACTATATCCTTTAAAATGGTGTTTGGTATACTAGAAGTGACCTGCAAAAAGGCAGTATTTTGTAGGGGTGGGAAATTATGTGTTTCAATGCATTATTTGCTGCTGCTCAGGAATACCAGAGGTGAAGGAGAGGTGACAGATTTGGTTTGCCCTAAGCTACAAAGTGGTTAAAGGGAGCTGGGCAATCACCAAGAGTGAGCAAGAAAAGAGAAGCGCATTTGTGCATTCACAAAAACACATGGTTATGTTGATCCTTTAATATTGACAGTTGTGATACTGAATGGAAAGACAGGGCAAAAGGGGAAACTTCAACACTAATGAAATGAGCGAGGAGTGCATCAAGGACATAGGGATTTGGTGCAGAATAGGATCATGTCGGGATACTTCTTCAGATTAGTAATTAAACTCCGCTAAATTGATAGCATTTCTTGTGGGATACATAAATATTAATGTTGGCATGTGCATTTTATTATGTTCAGCTTATGGCCTTATCCCTTAAACCAGTGATTCCCAACCTGTGGGTCCTCAGATGTTTTGGCCTTCAACTCCCAGAAATCCTAAAAGCTGGTAAACTGGTTGGGATATCTGGGAGTTGTAGGCCAAAACATCTGGGGATCCACAGGTTGAAAACCACTGCCTTACACTGTGACTGTAGCAACACTATAATTCAAGTGAATGAAATATCAAAAAAAAATCCAAAAATAAAAAACAACACCACACTAGAATTGTTGTTCCAGTGAAGTCATGTGGACTGTTTTAAATTGGCAGGTGAAATAACAGTATTAATAAATCTAAATAAAACCAGCCAGTTAGCAAAAATTAGACTTCTGTTTCCAGGACAAAGCAGAATTACTTAATTTGGCCCTCAAATGTTTTGGACTACAACTCTGATTGTTGGCAGCGATCAGGCCTTGTAACCAGTTTGAGCTATAGTGTGAAAGTCAGCATTTCAGAATGAGGGGAAAGTTATAAATTCCACAGAACGAGTCCAAACCTTATTTGTGTAGGTCTAAGCAGCTCTCTGGATTCCAGCCATAACTGGTTTCTTCAGGAGCTCAGGCAGGCCAAATTAAGCGTCAAAACAGAAATCTCCAAAACTGTGAATCCATTTGCACAACTATAGCACCGCTATGTGTTAATAATGTACTATGGTTCCTATACCTGAAATACTTATGAAGCAGTATAATGATGATATGGATCAGAAATGCACAGGCAATAAAGGAACCTTAGTTTATGCTGGCATCAAATCCATTGTGAAAACATCTATGGGTAAGTATGTCTTGAATGATCTGCATTCTCAAATGTGGCAAGACTTTTAAATGGCTTTGCCCATCCTCTCTCTAATTATATATATTTTTATGTTTTTATGTTTAGGTTTTATGTTAGATATAATTTTTATAGCTCATGTTTTATTTAATCTATAAATGTCATGTTATGAATAGTTTTTATATGTGGGGTTATTTTGTGCTAATATGTTTGTATTTGTTGTTGTACTGAGGCATTGAATGTTTGCATTTTTTGTTGTTCTTTTCTGCCCTGTGCCTCCTTGGAGATATAGGGCAGAATATAAAATAATAATAATAATAATAATAATAATAATAATTATTATTATTATTATTATTATTATTATTATTAACCCTGGAGGTTTTGAGGGTAGGATTAAATGAGAACAATTGTTGTGTAAATGCATATTCATATTACTATTTAAAAAAGTCTTTTTGTCCACCAAATTCTTGTCTATTAGTGCATTTTCTGAACCACTGTTTAGTTCATATCACACACTGATGTATCAGATAATACTTGAGTCAACATTATAAATCTATTTATACCCAGATACCTAAGAAATAATAAGATATTCCCTTCTTCCCCCAAAATATGTTTTTAGGAAGCCCGCAATAGTGGGCCCAAATAAAAAAAGTACCCAGAAATGTTTAGCAACTTAAAACTCAAATTTTAGCAACATTTGTTCTCTTGTTAAGTAAACAAGAGTACATTTGCTGGAGTCTCAATTGGCTGCTTTATTTACTCTATATACTCAAGTATAGGCCTAGTTTTTCAGACCCCTTTTTAGGCTGAAAAAGCTCCCCTTGGCTTATACTCTAGTCAAACGTATTTATTATTTTACTCTGTTATTAGTATTATTTGTATTACATTTATTATTTTACTCTATTATTGGTATTACTACATTTACATTATTTTACTCTATTATTAATTTATTGCATTATTTTACTCTATTATTATTACATTTATTATTTTACTTTATTATTATTGTAATTATTACATTATTTTATTCTATTATTATTTTTATTACATTTATTATTTTACTCTCTTTATTATTATTGGAAGGATATGTAAGCACATTTACACTGAAGGTGGTTAGAATAATGGTTTAATCAAAGTTGGTCAGTCTTATTTTAAATTACAGTTTTATGTAAACATTGAAGAACATTTAACCTACTGTTTCCTCAATTAATGTAATTTTATTGGTATCTATTTTCAAAATTTTACCAGTTTTTTTTGTGGTAAAATTAGGTGCTTTGGCTTATATTCGGGTCGGCTTATACTTGAGTATATACAGTATTTGTTTGTTTTGTTTTTAGTTACAGAACTTGCTAAAAGCAAGAGCAGACAGTGTTTATTTTTTAGTAGAATAAACACAAGGATCTAGTGTAGTACCTGTGGTTAGGAATGTTAAAAGGTTTTTGCTTAAATAATCAGAAATATTTTCTTTAGGAACAACAGAGAATCTCAGACACAGCAGGAGTGGATCTGACAGGCAGTCAGATATTATTCAGTATCTGAGTGAGGAAAGGTCATTGGCTTTGCAGCTTTGTGGGTGGATAAAGAAAGGCACCGTTTTGGATGTTGAACCCTTTCTACACTCTTTGGAACAAGAAGGAGACTGGGAACGAGCTGCTGCTATAGCCCTGTTCAATTTGGACATCCGGCGAGCGATACAGATACTGAACAAAGGAGCTTCTTCCGGGAAAGGTATCTGTTCTGATTCAATATTCCTTTTGAAGGATTTGATTCTTATTTAATTTTGTTTATATCTGCTCCTCTCTTGACTAATCATATATTAGCTTAAGCTTTTGAAGAGATTAGATTGAAAAACCCTTCTATGCAAGCAATTTCTTCTGTTCGCAGAATGGCTTTTCTGTAGTTCTTCCAGACACAAAAGAATTAAATTTAATCCACCTACTATGGCACTATGCAATTTTGTTGGCAGAGCCGAAAGCACTAGAGGCTTCTTGCCTTATGTCTCTGCTCTGTGTGGCCTTTCCATCTGACCTACAGACATTTTTCTCTTATTTGGACTCCAGAGCCAAAGATAAGAGTTTGATTACAACTGTCATATAATGAATTGGATTCAGAGAAGCATTTGCATAATGGTAAAAAGTCATGAGCAACAAACCACAACCCATGATGCTGAGGAAAAATGGCTAAATCCCAAACTTAGTCAATAACTGAACCATATAGATAGGTCCCACAACCCCGTTGCTTCACAGCTGAAGGGATCACAGTAATGTGAGCAATAAGACTAGGAAATCTGTAACACAACCATTTATTTTATGCATTGTCAAGTCTTTTGGTCAGCAAATGGTTAAAATGAACAAAGTCTCAGTGTATAAAATGTCCCATGCAGGTGGTGTTAGTATTCTGTGAACAAAGAACTTGTCTTGGCAAGAAGATTCCTTATGAACTTGACGTAGTTCCACTATCCTTTTTATTTGTTTGTTTCCCTTCATAAAAGTGAGTTCAGAATTGATGTTTGCTTTTATCTAGTATTCTTTGACTGTTAAATTGGAGAATATGATGAATTCTTATGTCACTGGAAACAAAAAGCCAGCTGTATTTCCAAAATGCACTCCAGAAGTAGCCAGGTGGAATATGGAGTTGATAACTGTGCTGTTGATGTTTCTGCAATATAGGTGATCTAAATCTCAATGTCGTGGCCATGGCGCTATCAGGCTATACTGATGAAAAGAACTCCTTGTGGAGGGAGATGTGTAGCACTCTAAGGTTACAGCTCAACAACCCCTACCTGTGTGCCATGTTTGCTTTTCTGACAAGTGAATCCGGTTCTTATGATGGGGTTTTGGTAAGCTATTTTTAATTGGGTATAATCTCCTTTGATAAAAATATGTGTAATAGCAAATCTGTGGGGCTTACATAACTTGGAAACTTGATCTGAAAGTTCATGTGTTAGAGATCTTTGTGGTTTAGGCAGCCTTCAAGAAGCAGCAAGAAATTGTAATGTTGAAACAGAAAGAAAAAAGTTGAGCTTATAAACAGTGCTCCAAAGCGCAAGAGTTTATCTATATGATATATGAAATATGTATGCCTTGATATTAGAATCAGAGAGTTGGAAGAAACGACATAGTCCATCTAGTCCAACCCCCTGCCATGCAGGAAAAGCACAATCAAAGCACTCCTGACAGATGGCCATTCAGGCTTTGTTTTAAAACCTCAAAAGAAGGAGCCTCCACTAGACTCCGAGGCAGAGAATTCCATTGCTGAACACCTCTTACAATCAGGAAGTTCTTCCTAGTGTTCAGGTGGACTCCCCTTTCCTGTAATTTGAACCCATTCCTCTGAGTCCTAGTTTCCAGGGCAACAGAAAACAAGCCTGCTCCCTCTTCCTTATGACATGCTTTCATATATGTAAACATGGCGATCATGTCTCCTCTCCACCTTCTCTTCTGCAGGCGAAACATACCCAGCTCTTTAAGACGTTTCTCAAAGGGCATGGTCACCAGACCTTTGATTATTTTAGTTGCCCTCCTCTGGACACCTTCCCGCTTGTCAATATCTCTCTTGAATTGTGATGTCCAGAATTGGACACAGTTGAGGTCTGACCAAAGCAGAATAGAAAAGCGTTGTGACTTCCCTTGATGTAGATACTATACTTCTTTTGATGTAGCTCAAGATCCCATTTGTTTTTTTAGCTGCTGCATCACATTGTTGGTTTGTGTTCAATTTGTGCCTTTGATTTTTAAAATTTGATGAAGGTGAATTTTAATTAATTTTACAAAATCAATAGAAAATGAATTAAAATTTAGAATTTACCCCCCCCCCCCAAAAAAAAAAACCCCTACAGTAAGTCAAAACAAGCAAACAAAAGGACACAGGAATCTAGGTAATAAAGTCAGCAAATGCTAGGCTGAGATAGTAAATGTTTACAGAGCTGAAACACTGTTAAGATTGGCATGTGGATGGGAATTCCAGAAGATGACTACCACAATGGAGATACTGAGGCTATGTTTGCTACGGTGGTGTGATTTCCCTTGGATCGAGGTGGCCAAAGTGGGGCCTGCTGCTTGCATGCATCCCTTAGGATCCTCCCAAAGCATCCTCTTAAAAAAAATTTTTTTTTACCTGAACCCTGTCAAAACAGCTGCCCCCCTCAAGCCCTCCCACATACCTTCTGAAGATTTAAAAAAATGATTGAAACCCAAGCTGCTAGATATCATTTCTGATTACAACTAGTGCACTAGCATAGCTCACAAAGGGATGTAGGAGTGAAATCTGACCCTGTGTAGTTGCCCATTCTGCCTTAGACAAATAGTTACCCCTCAATCTGACAAACTGTTCCTGAAAATTGTGAAGAAATGCTGAAAAACCAGACTGAACGGATACAATTTACCAAGAAGCTAGAAAGAAAGGAAAGTGGCTTTCACAGGTTGACTTAGATCACAGGATGACTTAGATCACAAATCAGAATTGTGATGATGGTGTGTTTTTTTTTAAAAAAAATCTAATGCTAACATTTTACATTCTTTCAGTATGAAAGTAATGTAGCTGTCCGAGACAGAGTGGCATTTGCTTGCAAATTTCTGACTGATGCCCAGGTGAGATAATCAGATGTCATCTTTTCCCATTTTACTCTTTGGGTTTTTTTTTGGGGGGGGGGCAGCAAGGATGTACACTGGTTTGGCATATACTAAGTGTAACAACTACCATCCCTAAGCAGAATATGCATTTGGTACAAGAGCTAATTTCATTTTGCCCTGTAAAAAGGCATGTTATGGTGACAAATACAAATAACAGTAGAGAACTAGAGGCGGTAGCCCCTCCCACTGGCTACTCATAAGGGGAGAGTGGGCGGGGCTAACCAGCAGGAATGTTTGATAAGATCTCTAGAAGGTTCCGAAGCTGTCTGCGCAGGCGCAGAAATTACCATATGTGCGATTCACAGGGACCACGATGGGAAACTTTGGTTTGTGATTCCCATGAGCCCAAGCTAGCAGAACCTGTTGTGGGAATTAGTCAATCCTTGGTCTCCACAGATGCCACGGCCCACATATTGTACATTTTTAATGTCCAGAATTTTAAATAAGTGACATCATTTTACTATGCCATTATATATAATGGGACTTAGCATCTGGGGATTTTAGTATACATGAGGACCAAACCCAAGTGGATACCAAAGGCCTACCCTTATATGTACTGTGAGCCCAAGAGCACCTCTGCTCCAGAGCAATACAAATGAAACATCATGGGTGGACTTTTATGAAGTTGTTACTTTAAAATGACATCTAGTTTCGTTTGGTATTCTGTTGAAAACATTTGAGGACTGAGCAGAAAAGAAAGATATTTCATGTGTTTCCAAACACTGATAAGTTGATGTAGCCATCATGGTTTTGATGTCACAATGTCCCTTTTCTCTGTTGTTTTGGTGCATGGAATTCCAGGATAAGGGCCAGAATGTGGTAGTTTATCCTCTTTTTTCTATAGTTGAATAGATTCATTGAAAAATTAACAAATGAAATGAAAGAGGCTGGAAACCTTGAAGGGATCCTACTGACAGGACTCACAAAGGATGGAGTGGACTTAATGGAAAGTTATGTCGACAGGACGGGAGATGTTCAGACAGCAAGCTACTGTATGCTACAGGTTTGTATCGGTCCTTAACAACATGCAGTGTGAAGACCCTACATGATGGGCCCTTCATGTAAAATCAGACTGGCCAACATCCTGTTTTTATGATACACGATTCTACTACTTACTGCACATAATGAAGCATTTGCAACATCATTTTGGATTTTTCTCCCATAAAACATATATTTCCAAATATTCACGCTGGGAGAAGTTACAAATGAATAGGTCTAGAAAATAACTTAGAAATAAAGCTCTTCTCACTGAAAACTATATGCCAGGTCCCATTCTATTTCTATTCTTGGCAAAAATAACAAAAATGAAATGGGGAACCAGCATAGCACTTCATCAGAATACCCTATTCTACTTGTGCATCTCTTTTCTTGATTGCTGCACTTCTGCCTTTTTAGGGTTCTCCTTCTGATGTACTTAAAGATGAACGGGTTCAATATTGGATTGAAAACTACCGAAATCTCTTAGATGCATGGAGGTTTTGGCATAAACGGGCAGAATTCGACATCCACCGAAGTAAACTGGATCCCAGTTCAAAACCTTTAGCACAGGTGAGTGGTTTTTAAATCTTCTCTTCATGTGTCATCTGTAATTCCAGACAATGCATATAAAGAGACATCTGTTGTTCAACACTTATCAGTTTCATAATTCAAAGTAGTTTGCTTAACCTTCAATGTAACAAAAAGGACATCTTATTGATTTTCCCCCAGTCTTGTTCACATTTGCTAGTACTGATTATTATTCAAAGCTGAGTAACTGTCACCTCAAAATACCATTCTTAGGACATCTTGTAACAGGTATTTGGTAACAAAAACATAAAATCCAGTTGTATGTGGCATATTTCACCTTGCCACTACTGATACTTATATCAAGCAGGGCCTTTTGTTTGAGGAAATTGTCTACTTTTTTTTCATAAAATCTAAAGTTTAAAAAAGACATTTTCCCTGGTCATATTTTCCTCTGATGACTCCATTCTTCATGTTGGCCTTTCGTTGTCCACCATTCATTCATATTCTGGTCCCAGATGATTCACTGTTGTGTCATTCTACCATATTACTTCACTCCTTATATCCTCAGATTATCAGCTCCTGTGAAAACTATCCTTGCTTTCAAAGCCTGTCATTTATTTATTTATTTACTATACTTCTTATCCCGCTCTCTCTCACCCCCAAGGGAGACTCAGAGCAGCTTACAATTTGTCAGAATTCAATGCCACAACATACATTAAAAAGCAATACATAACATAATGAACTAAAATCAATTTACATACAAAACCATTAAAACATTATACATGTAAATGTCATAAAACATATTGAACATTGCACCAATCCCAGTCATCATTTAGTTGCTTCATTTATGTCTATATTGTGATAAGATGTTATGCTGTCACTCGCCAAATGCCTGCTTACACAGCCGGGTTTTAAGCCTTTTCCTATACACCAGGAGGGAGGGGACAGATCTAGACTACAACTCCTGCATTTCTTATCATTAGACATGGGAGTTGTAGTACAGCAACATCTAGAAGACTGCAGTCAAGCTAGTCAGGGTTCGAAAGGAAATACAAGGCTTGTGGATCTGACAGATATCTGCCATGATTCTGTTGCTGCTTTCTGTGAGCTTTACGTGTTCAGTACCATCATCTTCAGTCTCCAGCTCCCTAATATGATGCCACCTATTTTGTTTTTTTGCCCCCTTATACCTTGAATGTCTTTCTATGGCCACTTCTTTTAAGAGCCACTTACACTCACAATTTCTGGTTGGCACTCCCAGTTGCACATTCGAAGTCTGTAAGGTCAATATCAAAAGTAAGGTTTAATTGCACTAGAAGATAGAATAAAGTGCTTCTGAGGATATTTTATACAGGTTTGGTCAAGATCAGGGATTATTACTCATTCATTGAAGGCACACTGGAATAGCCAAGTTTTCAGACTCTTCCTAAATACTGCCAGGATAGACTGCCTAATTTCTCAGGGGAGCGAGTTCCAGAGCCGAGGGGCCACCACGGAGAAGGCCCTCTCTGGAAGATTGAAGGGATCGTGTAGGTTCAGAAAAGGAAAAGCTTTCTGAACAACATCTAATGCAGGGGTCCTCAAACTAAGGCCCGGGGGCCAGATGTGGCCCTCCAAGGTCATTTACCCGGCCCTCGCTCAGGGTCAACCTAAGTCTGAAACGACTTGAAAGCACATAACAACAGCAATCCTATCTCATCAGCCAAAAGCAGGCCTACATATCCCATTGAAATACTAATACGTTCATATTTGTTAACATTGTTCCTCGATTTAATTATTTTATTGTTTTTAAGTGTTTTTACACTACAAATATATGTGCAGCGTGCACAGGAATTCATGTTTTATTTTTCAAATTATAATCCGGTCCTCCAACGGTTTGGGGGACTGTGACCTGGCCCTCTGCTTAAAAAGTTTGTGGGCCCCTGATCTAAGGCTATCTTAGACATTTACACTAATCTATTGTGGAGTTTTTACAGTGGACACTGCAGTACTTCATAAAAAGGGAAAATAACCTGTGTCAGCAGTACTTCATAAAAAGGGAAAATAACCTGTTTAACAAGCCTTGGAAATGTTGGTTTGTTATCAGCAAATGTTTGATTTTATACCTATATTATATATGCTATTTGCACAATCCCTTGCCCTTTTATAGTTGGCCACATCCATTTTGTAATCTTGACCATTGGTTTGTGGAACCTTGCCTCATGGAGCTCCAATACAATTGGTTTAAAAAAAATCATATAGTGTGTTTTAGGAGAATTTTTGTATTTTATGATGGTTGTATTTTTTTGTTATTTTTGTTAAATTAGGTTGTTTTATATTGCCTAATGTACTTGTCTCAATGTAATGAATGCTTGCCTTATATGTTGGAAACAACCCTGAGTCCCTTCCCGGGGGGGGGGGGGGGGGGGGGGTAGGGTGGTATACAAATAAAGATGATGATTATTATCCAGGAGTCACATAAAAGGGATCCCGAATGAAAAAGTTTAATAAGCCCTGCTTTAGAAGACTTCCAAAGCCTTCCATAGTCAATGGGAATAGGAAGTCTTTAATACAGTAGCCAAGGAAAAGTATTTGTGAATTAATTACTGATCTGTTTGTACATGTATGAACATTATGTTTGCATTATTTATAAGTTACAAAGGAGCTCGTGTATATATTTCTGTCCCGAAGGTTTTTGTAAGTTGCAACTTTTGCGGAAAATCCATCTCCTACAGCTGCTCAAGCATTCCCCACCAAGGCCGAGGCTTCAGTCAATATGGTGTCAGTGGATCCCCAACCAAATCAAAAGTCACAAGCTGCCCTGGTTGCCGCAAACCTCTTCCTCGCTGTGCTCTTTGCCTAATAAATATGGGCACTCCAGTTTCTAGCTGCCCAGGTATGGCTCACATTTTATTAAATTCATCTTAACACATAAGTTTGTGTGTTTTCTTCCACCTACTTCCCTTATACCTATCTGCTTATTCATAGTAATGTCTGCAGGAAACTGAACTGGCACAGAGAGCAGGTACTTTTGGCTTTAAGTGTGAACACCTGACCAAGTAACAAGGATCTTGCAATTCTTAGAACAACTTCGAAATGTAGTTGAAGATCATGAAAAGAAAACATGTAGATAATAGTTAAAATCAAAAGAGCCACTTCACGTGTGGTCCTAAAGATTTAGTCTACCTTGGAAATAGTATGACTTTTTTGGCCTTAAATTGGTGTGCATAGAAATGCAAAAACCACTTTTAAATGTATTTACCAAAAACTAGTACTACAGTTCTTGAAATATAGTTAACTTGTCACTAATATTTCCTTTAATTTTTCAAAACACTGCAAAAATAATCTCGTGTGGAAACTAGATAATTACTTTTTAGCTGAAAAGATTGACTTCTAGAATGTTTTCTTGTGTCTTAATTATTTAATATTAGACCTCTGTTTTCTTAGCCCCACAGTTTCTTCTAATTCCGAACCACCATTATATTTATTAGTGTAAAAGCAAATAAATTGAAATATCCTTTTATACAGGAGGATCTAAGTCAGATGAAAAGGTGGATCTCAGCAAGGACAAGAAATTAGCTCAATTCAACAACTGGTTTACTTGGTGTCACAACTGTAGGCATGGTGGTCATGCTGGACACATGCTTAGCTGGTTCAGGTAAGGAAACAAAGATCAATTTGTTGCATACATTATTTTATCTCGGTGGCCGTATGTTAGGAATTGCTAATTGCTATAATAATGGTTTTGATACATTAAATGAAAATTTTCTGTTACTTTTCAAAATATTGTGATTTTCATTGTAAAATTAAGGCATTACCTTAAAGGGGAAAACATCACCAATGCATTGAATGGGCCACAGAATGACATATTTTAATAAGAAAACAAATGTAGCCAATATAATTTTTCTTGAGTTAACTGTTGCGAAAAACATAGTAATGCTTTATGGTCCCATCTGCAAATGCAGTCATAATTTTCTACATGCTCAGAATGTCAGATAGGAATTCTGTTAGGTCCAAGGGCCACAATCCAAAGAGCTCCCTTACATATCTCCAACATTTTATATGAAATCTTTGGGAACAGCTACCTTTTGAGCAGCATACTGTCCCATATCACAACCGGGTCCCTTTGTTTGCCATGGAGAACACTGGCCTGTCAGTATTCTGTCTACAACATTGTGAACCTGCTACAGTTTCCGAGCGCTTTTGAAAGGCAGTCTCACACGCTTTAAAGCCGATTTGTTGTTGATCCATTCTTTTGGGCTTGACAGAAATCTACCATTTGTCAAAATATGATCTTGTGCTATTTTTTTCCATTTCTGGCCAAATAGCTTAAATTTGGATAATATTTTGCCTTTGATCTTTTAGCAATTAAAATTTGCGGCATTGATGTTGCTAGCCCTTGTGATAGTGCATTAGAGTAGTCCAAATTGGATTTAATCGTGGCATGTGGCACCATAGCCAGATCTGACATTGTGTGAAATGGGCACAACTGGTGCACTGGTTTTAACTGTGCAAATGGATTCCTGGCCATTGCTGAAACCTGGACATCCAGGCTCACAGCAGAGTCCAGGAGAACACCCATAGAGCAGCGCTTCCACCTCTGCCGGGCAAGCATTGCTAGGGTGCAATTTCTTTTTACAACAAATGCCAAAATAACACACTGTGGAAGCTTAAAGCATATATTTTGCTTAAAGTTCATCTCCAAAAAGCTACATTTTAAGAATCTGTCTTACTCTAGCTGTAGCAGAGAAAAAAGGCTCTGTAGATATTGGATGTAACATTGAAATCAGTTGACATTTTCATCTAATGTGGTCAGGATCAAAGGGGAATGCAGAATGTTACATAAAATAACACATTGCATTGCCTGTAGGTGTGTATTTTCCTTTACTTCCATTTTAGTTGTAGAGCCTAAATATTTTTGTCTTTAAATGAGACTTTGAGAGGTTACTTATTTCACATGATTTGCATCTTGTTCTGCTAATTCTTCCCCATATCAAAATGTTTTATTCTTCTTTTACATAAAAAGGTACATCCAAATTCCTTTTATACTGTTTAGATAAAATTCTGTGGTGGGTTGAAAAGGTATGATTTTCTTTTTAAACTTCCAAACAAATTTGAGTAATACTTTCCTTCCCTTTCTAGGGATCACACTGAATGCCCTGTTTCTGCATGTTCATGTAAATGTATGCAGCTGGATACCACTGGGAACCTCATCCCAGCTGAGATGGTCCAGCCATAAAATGCCAGTGCATTTCAGAACTGGAGTTCTTTAGATCCATATCTGTCACAATTGAAACAGGCACCACTTACTATTTTCCAAGAACTGAGAAATAAATTATTTTACATATCAGCAATTTTGTGTGGATGGTTCTGATGTGGTTTACACGAGCATGTCCTACTGGATGGAGTCTCCAGCTGTGCGATGTGGACTGTGTTCAGTGAGTTATGAAGAAACTCATTTTTGAAGTATTTATAGAGGACTTCATTGAAATAGAAAACACTCACAAGGAGACATCAAGCATCACACTGTTCCAGATCTCAAAGCTTCCATCTAAGAAATCTTAATGTTTTGGAGTGTTCTGTGTACATTACAAACTTTTTTTTTACAAATGTCTTGAGTTGTGCTGGCCATTTGTTACGGGCAATTTTTTGCCAGCCTTTTCTTGCTTAGAGATATAACACAATAGAGTTCTTGTATAAAGTTTGCTCACCCTGCAGGGTGACATTCCTAAGACAATCTATGAGTGAATTAAGGCATTGTGTTAATTTGTATGAATTGTGAGGTTCCTATTTGAATGAGTAAAAGTTCCTAATGAAAAGTTAATGGATTTCACAGTGACCAGAAATACCCAGGATTTTAAAAAATTGGGGCTAGCCTATAAAATATTATGCCCCAATGATATGCACCAAAAAGGAAATTTGATTTAATCAATGTGATCAAACGTAACATTTGGATTAAAATAGTTCAAAGTCCTGACTAGAATAGAGATGTTGAATTAACTGCTGATTAGCAAATTGTATGGCAAAATATGAACTAGTGTAGTAACTATACTGTTTGTTACTCTTTCATTTAATTTTCTGCTGTTAATTACCAACAAACCAAACAAAATATTGAAACCTTCAACGGATAACTAGAAACTTGAATTTCTTTTGAACCTTTTCAGTGCAATGTAGTAATCATTTGGGATGTGTTTTGGCTGCTTACCTGACAATCTTGTATTTTTCATTTTAAATGTAAGGGCCTGGATCCAAAGAACCATGTGCAACAATCAGTATATATACTTGGACATTCCTAATCCTTTTCCCTGGTGCTTCATTGAAAGTTACTTTTGGGGGGTGGGAATACCCAGCATTTGAAAAACCAGAGCTTATTCTAAAACATTGCAGTAATGGGAACAGGGTGAAATAAAAGAATCAGACTGAAATATCCACATGCAAACAACTTATATTTGTACACAGGACACTTTGGATCCAAGCGACTGTTTCTACACAGACATTGTTTTTTAAAGGGAAAGCATAATTAAAACATTTATTTTTTGTACTCAGGTGTGCTGGCCTTTATTGACTGCCTCACTTAAAGGCAATTTCTGGTCAGAATTATATTTTTACTGTTAATCTGTATAGAGATGCATATCACAGAAGTCAATTTGAAATAACTTTTGTAACGTTGACAAAAGATTAGCTGTTCCAATTAATTTCTAGATTAATTTTAAGCTCTTGAAAGCAATATAGACTTTATTTTTCTACCCTTGCTTTCAGAGTATTAAGAGCATGGATATTTAGTTTTCTTCCTTTCTGTAAAAAATAGTGATATGCAAATATGAATTGTTAAGGTGTACAAAAGTATTTGTAAAATAAAAGAAGCCAGTTTTGACTCAAGCAATGCCTACGCTTACTTCAGCAGACTACAACTGCACATACATATGTCTTTTGAGTGGAATGGCTCTGATAAAAATGAAGTGCATAGAATTTCTGTACAAAAAGTTTAATATTCTACATGAGTATTGAAAGGTTAAATAGCTGCACTGCACATATATTGTTTCTAATTTAGCCAGTGGTCAAATATTTGGTCAGCTGTATGTTTCTGTAGTTTGAAAGGTTGAAACCACTTGTTAAAACCACCTGATTCTATGCTCAAAACAATAAAAAGTTTAGTTTGCTTCACAGTTTTGATGACTGTTATTCCATATGCCTCAAGCAACACAGGATGGTATTATGATAGCTGCTATAGGAAGAGGTCCGGCGAACTGATAATGGCTGCCTTGAATCATTAGAATCTTGAGAGCCCAGTATCAGTGCAATCAATCAGATATTAAATATACATCTATTGAGAAGTTTTTGCCTTTTATCAGAGATGTGCATTTTTCTCCATCACTACTGCACCATCGTTTAGATCCATTGGCAGAGACAAAAAAAACCCAATCCAGAAAAAATTGTGAACCATATCATATGCATGTAAGGTTGCCCCAAGTGAATTTTTAAGACAACTTGTTTTCAAATGAGATTATTGGGTACTTTTCTTCATTGAGTATAGAACTGTCCCATTTCTTATTTTGTTAAGCATCAGTCAGAACCAAAAGGATAGTATTCAGGAAAGTCATGAATAATTTTCAGAGCTTCATTATATAGCGCAAGATCTGAAAGAGGGAGCAGAAAAATAAATTTACTACCGCAAATAGAAATACATTGCATATAGGTGCCACAATACTAATTACGTAACTCTGGTAAGGATTTGCTTTCAGTAATATGGCTAAGTCTCTACGGGAAGACAATGACCAGAAACTCAACTAGCCCAGATTTCAAAAGGTACCTATAATAGCATTTTCACAACATTTTAAAAAATGTGACTGGGAAAACTTAGTTCTGAGATCTATAATTAATTTTGTACATTAAAAGAAACAGCTTGTCTCACTCAACATATTTAAGGATTGTCTTTATTGAACCAACAGATTTGAGAAACTGGTATTCAACTATGAAGCTGCTGCTATGATTATATCTTCCACTCTTGTTTCAATACTTAAAGCTCTTGTGTATAAAGGCATTATACTGAATTTGAAAATCCATATTTATATTTTAATTCTAATACAATGTGCTCACACATCTCTTCACAGCAAAATCAAAACACATTTCCATAAGAATAAGTTTTACAAAAGATGGTGTCAAAGCAGGAGTTTACTAGAAAAAGTGAAAAGTTTATTCAAAGCAACCAAATTTTGGGGAAGAAAATCTGTACTTTGTCTTTTGAACTGTTGATTTTGTGAAGTCCAGTAAGTTGGTAAAAACAAATTGCTCAGCTATCTTAAAGGTACCAGAAATAGTCTGATCTTGGAAGCTATAAAGGTAAAGGTTTCCCCTGACATTAAGGCTAGTCGTGTCCAACTCTGAGGGGTGGTGCTCATCTTCATTTTGAAGCCAGCGTTGTCTGTAGACACCTCCAAGGCCATGTGGCCAGTATGACTGCATGGAGCACAGTTACCTTCCCAAAGAAGCGACACCTATTCACATTTGCAAGTTTTCGAACTGCTAGGTTGGCAGAAGCTGAGCCTAACAGCGGGAGCTCACTGTGTTCTCTGGATTCGAACCACCAACCTTTCAATCAGCAAGTTGAGCAGCTCAGTGATTTAACGTGCTGCTCCACCAGGGGGCCTAAGCTAAGCAGGAGACAAATGAATACCAGGTGCCAGAAGAAGGAATTCCAGAAGAAGGAATTAGCAAAACTATCTTTTGAATATTCATTGCCTTAAAAAACCCTTAAGAAATTCATGAGATTACCATAATTGAACAGGCAATTTGTAGGCACACACACACATGCACACACTTCTTAATCAAAAGTACAGGCGTCACTAAAAAAAAGCATAGTTTGCAAAATCGGAAACTACGTAATTCACTTACCAAATGTACTTTTATCATCTCTAAATTGAGTGTATGTTGCACACAAAATGTTTACTTGCTTTGTTACTCTTCCTATTACTTCAATGACTCCAGAAATCTCTTCTTCTAGCTGCCAAAGCAAATAAAATAATTAATGCCATTTATTTGGAGTTTTAGAGTCACCAACATCCCACCATATCTATTTTCTCAGCTGTGTTGTCCATTCTATGTCAAAGTGTAAATGTTACTGTAAATCAACATAATTAATGTCTTACTTGCACAAAAACAGACTGAAAATACTCTTTATAATTTCTTTTTTATGCTTAACATCCAAATACAAAACATTTTAAGATGTGCTTGATTCTTAAGATCTGCTTAATTCTCCAGAAGTTAGGGGAAGACTTATTTTAAAGATGAAGGCAGAATAGATTTAAGATTTCTAATTGGACACAATGACATGGAAAACATGTATTCTAGCTTGCTGAAAAACAGTCACAGATCATCTAAATGACTTCTCTCAGATACCAGATTAAAACTCATTTCTGATAAGCATCTGGACAACCCCCTCTACATTGTTTCATTCATTTCTATTTAAATTAAATTTACACTCCCATTTTTCTCCCAAAAAGAGATCTAAATCAGCGGGCATTCGGGTTAAATTACTAAAAAAATTAAAACAATAAAAGCCTGTGAAAAAGACCAACTAACATTCAAAAACTTGGGTAAACCAAAAGGTATTTGCCTACTGATGAGACTACAGCAGAGAAAGGGTTGATGTTGCTTTTCATGGGAGGGAAGACCAAAAGCTCCTACTGAGAAAGTTCTCTTTTGTGACTTATTCAAATATGCCTGTGGGGCTGAAGGAACCTTAATCTCAGGCAGACTCAAATTATGCCATTCCATTTCAACCATCCAGTTCTCAGTTGGACACTACTCATCTTCTGTTTCTCTTAAAATTTCATATAACCTGATAGTGCTATTGCAATTAACTTGAGTGGCAGCACATTTATCCATAGTCCTTGGAGGAAATAACTGGCAATTTAAATGCAAATGCCCTGAAGGGAAAATCATACTGATTGCATTATTTAGATGATGAGATGGGTATTAACAATGAGAATCAAGGCATTGTTCAACAACAATAAAATGCTTCTGGTGGAGCTTGTAGGTGAATACATTTGGTTAAGTCCCAATCTGCATATTATGTCAGTGCCACAATTAACCATTCATTTCTTTGTGTCAGAGAATAAATCTTGTGGGTTTGGAGGCATCTATACTCCAGAATTAAGGCAGTTTGACACCACTTCAGATGCCATGGCATCTTGGGATTTGTAGTTTGGTGAAGTCTTTAGCAGAAAATGTTAAAGATCTTGTAAAACTACAACTCCAAATATTCAACAGAATTTAGTGGTGCAAACTGCACTCATTAAACAGTGTAGATATCCACTTCATCTCATGAACGAATCAGCTAGACCAGTAGTACAAAGACTGGCCATAATATTCTACTTTCATAATTAACATCCAGATACAATTAATACACACACCCCAATTCCTGCAAGCTATGAATAGAAGACCTCCCAAAGGAAACTCAGACTTACAGGCGTGTTCATCTCTATGGTTGCAGTTTTCCCTTCTCCATCAGCCAGAAAGAAGTATTTCCCTGATGGGTGGATCTACAAAGATTTTTTTAAAAATTCAGTTTCAGGATAATATTATCTCAGCATACAGAAGGTTTTTTAATCAACCCTGAACACGAGACAGACATTCTATACACATATAGAGGCTTCTGTCCATCTGCTTTCTCCCTTCTTCAGGTCAGAGGCATCGCAATGTCTCCATGGCAACCACCTGGCAAAGATGGTTAGGCTCTGTTTGTGGCTCCTTCTTTCCTTCCTTCCTCCATTTCCCACATATACCTTGTTTACCTTTATTTTGTTTTTTTCCTTCTTCCCTTGCTTTTCCTCACATGCCTTCCCCCACCTGCTTGCTTTCTTTCCGTTCTCTTCCCTCCTTTTTGTCTCTTCTTTCATCTCTTCTTTCTTTCCCCTCAGCTTAAGCGGATGAGGGGGAAAAGGAAGGGGCCTGAGGCTGTTAGGAATTGTGGGAGTTGAAGTCCAAAACACCTGGAGGGAGGGCCCAAGTGTGCCCATGCCTGGTGTAGACACCTAGAGAGAGGGCCCAAATATATATTATTTATTTATTTATTTACGACATTTATATGCCGCCCTTCTCACCCCGAAGGGAACTCAGAGCGGCTTACAAGATATATATATATATATATATATATATATATATATATATATATATCTCATACAATATGTTATATTATTAGCATAGTACAATATCTGTATTAAATATTACTATATTGTACTATACCATTATATTGTAATATTATTAGTAATATTATATGTAATATAAATATATAATTACAATATCATATTATTAGTAGCATTATATTGCATTACATTATCTATATATATATAAATGCTCTGTGCATAATAATCAAAGAGCATTCTGAACTCCACCAACAATGTAATTGAACCAAACTTGGCACAAAGGACTCCCCTGACCAACAAAAAACACTAGAAAGGTTTGGTGGGCATTGACCTTGGGTTTTGGAGTTGTAGTTCACCGTGGACTCAAACAATGATGGATCTGGACCAAACTTGGCACGAATACTCAATATGCCCAAATATAAACACAGATGGAGTTTGGGGAAATAGACCTTGACATTTGGGAGTTGTAGTTACTGGGATTTATAGTTCACCTACAATCAAGGAGCATTCTGAACCCCACCAATGACAGAATTGGGGCAAACTTCCCACACAGAACCCTCATGACCAACAGAAAATACTGTGTTTTCTGGTGGTCTTTGGTGACCCTTCTGACACCCCCTCGCAACCCCCCCCCAGGGGTCCCAAACCCCAGGTTGAGAAATGCTGCCTTAAGGCCATCCAGTCCAACTCCCTTCACCAGGGCAAGAAAACATAATCAAGCCAAAGCAGAGCACCTGATGAACCAACCTGGACACAGCATATTATTTGAGAACACAGAAGTGCTGAACCACTCTCACAACCACCATGTCAGACTACACAGAGAAGCCATTGAAATACACAAACATGTGGACAATTTCAACAGAAATGAAGAAACCATGAAAATGAACAAGATCTAGCTACCAGTATTAAAAAATTCTAAAATTGCAACAGCAAAAACAGCAGAGAGGAAACAGGCAGGGACATCTAATTACCTTTCAAGAAGAGTTTGCTCCAGGCACAGTCAGCCCATTGTATGCTAATCAAGGTGGTCAGTTGAAATATTCACACCTAGCCCAACTGACAAAAGCCCTTTGTCTCACCCTGGTCATTCCACAGATATATAAACCCTTTTTCCCAGTTCCAACAGACCTCACTACCTCTGAGGATGCTTGCCATAGATGCAGGCGAAACGTCAGGAGAAAAATTGCCTCCAGAACATGGCCATATAGCCTGGAAAAACCTACAACAACCCATAATCAAAGCCCTCCTGACAAAGGGCCGTCCAGCCATTCACACACACACCTATTGTGTATGACAGATGCAGTATCATAGATTTGAAAGGGACCCTTAAAGAAGGGCAATGATATGTTCCATGTTCCAGAGCAGGCAAACCAGACAATGTCCACATCAACACTGGCAAAGAAACAGCAAGAAATATTGCTTACTCACAAGCATCAAGACATTACATACATTAGAAACCAACACTTTCTCATTACTTTATTTCCCAGATCACCAGACTGGGCCACACCAACGCGTGGCAGGGGACCGCTAGTATGTATCTGAGGGGACAGGTGAAGACTGAGATTCTCTGGCATGGCCGCTCGATTGGTCTGACCCATTTGCTACCGTATTGTTCGATGGTGCTGTTCACCTACCGTTAAGAGCTTGGGTGTCGTTTTGGATTTGCAGCTGACAATGGAAGCTCAGGTCGCTGCTGCCAGCAAACCGGCCTTTTTCCATCTATGACAAGCGAGGCAATTGGCACCCTACCTATCTGACGAGGCTCTGGCAAGTGTCATCCATGCCACGGTCATGTCTAGGCTGGACTATTGCAACGCCCTGTATGTGGGCCTTCCGATGTCTATGACCCGAAAGCTCCGTATTGTTCAGAATGCGGCAGCCAGGTTACTCACAAGAACACCCATGAAATGCCATATAACACCAGTGTTGCAGCATTTGCATTGGCTTCCAAGTGATTACTGTGGTCTATATAAGATGCTAATTCTGACCTTTAAAACTCTTTACGGCCAGGGTCCATCATACTTTAGGGACCGCCTCTCATTCTCCCATCATCGGAGGTCGCAACGACCATCCCAACGTGACTTACTCCATATACCGGGTCCTAGAGAAGTGCACTTGGAAAGGAGCAGACGCAGGGCTTTTTCTATTTCTGCCCTTCCCTTGTGGAATTCCTTGCCGCCCTACATGAGAGCCATGCGTGACTTAGGGCCTTTTACCCTAGCACTTAAGACCTGGCTTTTTACTAGAGCGTTTGATCTATGTTAATTTTATCAATATCTGTATGTATGTATTTTTATCCTTTTCAATTTAGCTTGTAAATCGCCTAGAGCATCTTGGATGGAGGGCGATTAATAAGTAATTAAATGATGATGATATACAATATGTTATATTACATTACATTATTAGCATAGCACAGGAGACAAGGTGGAACTATCCCCTGGCTCTCTCTCTCCACTCTGGCCCAGAGTGTGGACTCAGTATGGCTGAGTGGACTCAGATAACCCAGTTCAAAGCCGATATTGTGGGATTTTCCGCCTTGATATTCTGAGTTATATGGCTGTGTGGTTCAGATCCATCAAGGCGCGTAGAAGCCCTCTTGTTACAAACGGACAGACCAACATACATACATGACTGCATCTGTCCATACATTCTGAGGCCTCCCACCCTGCCCCTTCCTTACCTTCTCCAGCCGCCCCACGAAACAAACGGGCTTCCCAATGGATTGCGCCAATTGACTGGTGGCTACACGAACCCGGGGCCCGTCCAGCACCTCCGCCATTATCAGAACCTTTCCCAAGTTTTTATCAACAAGCCCACTTGGCGGGAAACATCTCCTTCCGTTTTCAAGCCGCGCGGGCCAGTTACCACGGCAACCACGGACGCGCGCAACCTTCAACGTTGTAGGCCAGCCTCCGCCGTGACGTCATTTCCGAGTGAGTTGCGCATGCGCCCAGCGGGTGAAGCGGTGACTCGTTCCGTCTCCAGGCTGTGCCGCTAGTGAACCCGGATGTGAAACTGTTCTGCTGTTGCTGTGGAGGAAGGGAAGGTGGGTCTTCGTCAGAACGACCGGCGTGGGAGAATTAACGTAAGGAGGTGTTTAACCGAGGCGGGAAGGGGAAGCGGAAAGCGAGGCGTGCTGTTGAACAGCGCCAAGGAGTAGCTTGGTTGAGACGCCCCAGAGGACCGGGGACGTTAGCGCCGTGGACATCCGCGCATGCGCACTTGCGTTTCTGAGGCGGTTCTGGCAAGTGGGCGGGGCTATGTGTTGCCTCGCGGTGACGTCACAGCCTTTCCTCATTCTGAAGGAGAGAACCTTTTCCTCAAGAGTAATGTCTTCAGTACTTGTACTGACCAGGAAGAAACAAAGTCTAAACTGTTTCTGTGATAGTATGATAGCTGGAGCGTTACGCACATTCCGCAACGACAGTTGTGAATAAGGGAAGGAGAGAGGATGGGAATGGTGTTCCGAAGAAGATTAAAAACTTGGATGTTTGAACAGGCATTTGGTTAATCAGTGCAATGAATGTGATGATTACAGGAATGGAAATATGGACGACGAATTTGGATCACGACTCTAGTTATGAGATGCATTGTGTTGTTATTGTTGTGTAATATTGTATATTGTGCTCTTGTGGTTTTAAATTGTATATCGTGATTGATTTTATCCTTGTTGTAAACCGCGTTGAGTCGCCGGTTAGGCTGAGAAACTGCGGTATACAAGTAAAGTAAATAAATAAATAAATAAATATACTTCAATTTGGTGGAAGGATAGAAAGGAGGGGAGGGTTAGGATAAGGTTTAGGATAGGATTAGGATAAGGTTTTGGGTTAGGATTAGTGTTTGGGTTAGGGTTAAGGTTTAGGATTAGGGTTTTACCATTAAACAACAAAACTTTATTTATATACTGCTCTATCTCCCCGAGGGGACTCAGAGTAGTTTCCAAGTAACATCAGTATATACAGACTGAACAACATAAAACAAAAATTAGCCAGATAATAAAAACATTAAAAAATTACAATAGTACATATATACGAGGGGTATTTTTCAAGTAAGGTCCGTTTGAACATAAGTACACAATGAAAGTTTATTTCAAAAAAGTAAATTTATTTCCAGAAAGTACATATTTCACTCTATTTTTCAACATAGTTGCCAAGTTTGTTCAAACACTTATCATACCTCTGAACCAATTTTAAAATACCCTCTTCATAAAAACTTGCCGCCTGCTGAAGCCACCAAATCGTCTGTAATCAAAGAAGGGCAACCGGAGCGGTCCTCATAATGGACGTTGTCACGGCCATCTTTGAATTGTCGTACCCACTTACGCACTTTGCTTTCACTCATAACAGTATCACCGTACACTTCACAAATCTGTCAATAAATTTCTGCAGCAGGCAGGTTCCTTGCTGACAAAAAACGTATCACTGAGCAAACCTCCCATGCGGAGGATGAGTTGATAGTCTTAAACATTTTTAAAGCACAGAACAGAACCGTACAGGTTAGCTACAGAGCACAGTTGTTCCCGAGGCATGCCGGTACACGACGCACGCGCTCGTTGCGGTATGCGCGCGAACTACTAGTGTCTACAACAAAACAGAGCTTACTTAAAAAATACCCCTCGTATTTAAAATAATCCTGCCTGTAAAAAGGCCTGGCCGAGGCTAAAGAACTCTTACATTCCTTCTATAATATCTGTGTTCCGTTCTGCGTTGCACAAACAGCCCTCTCGAAGGAGCGAAGCGGAAACAGTGTAACGCTCAGTGCATCCGGACCCAGCTTTCATACTATTACCACTATTTCAGCCAGTTTACCCATCCGAAAGTATCTCCCTCTACGACAGTGGTTCTCAACCTGTGGGTCCCCAGGTGTTTTGGCCTACAACTCCCAGAAATCCCAGCCAGTTTATCAGCTATTAGGATTTCTGGGAGTTGTAGGCCAAAACATCTGGGGTCCCACAGGTTGAGAACCACTGCTTTACTAATCACCAAAGACGTTAAGATCATCCAGGGAAGCCCTGCTCACGGACCCACATCCTTGGCAGTCGCAACTGGTGGGAACGAGAGACAGGGCTTCTCTGTGGTGGCCCCTTGGCTGTGGAACTCTCCAATGATACTTGTACCATGTTTGAGTTCTAGATTGACATCAGTTATAGCACAGTGTTTCCCAAACTCTACTCCTCCAGCTGATTTAGGACTTCAGATCCCAGAATCCCTGGTCATTGTCTAATAGCAGCTGAGCCTTCTGGGAACTGAAGTTCAAAACCACTTGGTGCACTAGAGTTTTGGAATCATTTATATGGTATCTTGATAATTTACATATATGTTGCAACCATCAGACATTGCTTTAGATTCTAGGAGATATATTTGTTTCTTGTAATGCAGGGAATGCTTCTGAAGTTCTGTTAAAAGTGGTTGGTGATTCTTAATATCTCCTCAGCCGTTGACTAAAGGTTTCTATTAAGACTATTTGTATTTTTAATCAATATAATTCTGTATAATCTTCAATTTCAGACAAAGAGTAGAAATACCTACAGAACACCCATGCATTCTGGTCCAGAATCACACAACTTAAGTGAGAAGAGTACATGGGTTAGCTATTAATTTTATGAGTAGCTAGATGTAATATTGTTTCAGCAAATGTAGACATTACTGCATCTTACTAAACCCCAGTAATGAACATATAATGTATATGTTTTGGTTCCATGAGTACATCTGATGTAAAAATGGAAGTTCATTGCATCAAATATTTCTCTGACTAGAAAAATCACAATATCTGGTTTTCCCCAGTTGTGAATATAGCCAAAACTCTCTCCTTTGTCTCCCCTTAATTTGTCATTAATTGTTGTGCTCCTTTGAGTCATTTCCAGCTTACAGCAAGCCTAATATGAACCTGTCACAAGCTTTTCTTGAGGTTAAGAGAATGTTACTCGAATGTGGCAAAGCTGGAGTTGGAACCCTGGTATCGAGATCATTGTCTAGCACTCAACCCACTACATAACACATTGAAATCTAAATGGAAAGTCTTTGAAAACATATAATTGTCATCTAGCAAAAGCCATTCCTCTTTGTTCCTTTTCCTTCCCCCAGCTTCGGGCCTGAAAAGCCCTCAATTATTTTAAATTGGATAATGAAGGATATGTGTGCCAAGTTTGGTCCACATCCATCAAACCAATAAACAAACAAACCAACAAACATACAAACAGACTTTTATATATATAAATAGATGTAGGAAGTTCAAGTTGATTTTACCCTGCTGTTTTTACATAGTCTCTCTGATAATAAAGCAAATATTCTCTCTCTTAATTTTTCTGTAATGTCTAGTTGTAGATTTTTAGTATAGGGAGAGTCAGATTAAAAGGTCTTCTTTTCTTTTTTTTAAAATATTTTTATTGAACATTTTACACATCAACACAAGGAAAGAGGGAGAACAATAACAAAGAAGATAGGAAAGTAGGAATCCCCAATACCCCCCAAAAAAGGAAAAAAGGAAAAAATCAAAGGAGAAAGAAAAAAAAAGGGGGGGGGGCACAAAAAACAAAATAGGGCCCAAAAAACATAAAAAAACAAAAAAAAAAAGGAAAAAGAAAACACACCTAAACTATTCTAAAATGACTTCCACTCCAGCCTCGGGATCTTCTCTCATTTCTTCTAAAACTAACTTATATTTTCTTAACCTCTAATGTTTTTCTATATTTTTCTTTTCATAGTCATAGAAAAAAGTCCAGTCTGTTCTCTTTAACGGTTTCCCGGTATTTTTCTTCAACAAAAAAGTTAGTTCATCCATATCTCTTATTTCTATAACCTTTTCCCTCCATTCGTCCATAGTCGGAATCTGTTCATTTTTCCAATATTTGGCAAAAATAATCCTTGCTGCCGTAGTAAAATATGTGAGTAATTTGTCTTCATTCTCATCCAATTTTAAGTCTGAGTCCGTAAAACCTAGTAGATAATATTCCGGCTTCTTTTTAAACTTCCTCTTGAATATCTTTTGTAGTTCTTCATGAATTAATGACCAGAACTTAGATGTTTCTCTGCATGTCCACCACATGTGGTAAAATGTGCCGGATTGTTCACCACACTTCCAACATTTGTCTGAGACATTTTTATACATGTGGCTTAATTTGTTTGGGGTCAAATACCATCTATAGAACATTTTATACCAATTTTCCTTCAAGTCCATAGCATAAGTATAGATTAAAAGGTCTTCTTGAAGACAAATACATTCAGAGCAATCCAAATACCGTCACAATAAAATAAAAGTGTATTTTTTTTCAGCTAATCTCATCTAGTTGTGACACAGATGGTAGGTGACACAGATGGTAGGTAGGAAGGAATGGATGAGAATAATTAAGCACCACAGAATGCTCCAGTCTTCTACTTAATATAGTTTATTTTAGTCCAAATTTTTACATAAAATAAAAGTGTATTTTTTTTCAGCTAATCTCATCTAGTTGTGACACAGATGGTAGGTGACACAGATGGTAGGTAGGAAGGAATGGAAAAAGCATAGAAGAGTGAATAGGAAACAAGAGGTCATGAGATTGGGAGCCACATAAAGTGAGACACATAAAATGTATGGCTTGCCCTGATAAAGTAGGCTCAATTTTAAAATAAATAAAGAAGGGGAAAAGATAGCTGGGGTCACTTCATGATCAAGTTGCAGCTTGTAAAAGTAAGTTATTAGATAGTCTTACAAAACTGTTTAAACATTCTAACTTTTCAGGTCTTATATAATTTTCTATTAATTTAGAAATTAATAGAGGCCTCTTCCTGCCAAGCATGAACTTATATATATATATAAAGGCTTACAGCTTGATCAGAAATAAATTCTTCATGCAGTCAAGTAGTGTTTACTAGAATGAATTGTTGAGGAATAAGGTAATATCTTGTGTAAATTTTTCTAGTGCTCCAATAACCTTTTCCAGATGCTTAACTTTTAGAACCAGCCAGCTATGCTTGCTGTTACAGAAAGTTGTAAACCTCTTCAAGTGGCACTATTGAACAATTTTGTAAATTTATCGTAAATTCATTGATTCCCCTCACCAAGTTCAGTGTTTGTTCATGCTTATTTTGGTAATTGTCGGAATTGCACAGATTATTCAGTGGAACATGATGTGTTCTTTTTCCTCCCAGATTTATATTTCAAAGAGATGTTAAGCTTCTTCCGAAAGAGTCAGGATCCCAAGAAGATACCAGTGACATGTAAAGAAGCAGATGGTTTTGTTCTTCTGGGTAAGCAAATTAAAACCACAGCAGCCCCTGTGTATGCTTTAATTTAATTAATTATTAAATATTACCTTAAATAATTTTTCTCATTTTATTTTCCCAAGGAATATTTTGAATGTAATATAGATATTAGAATATTAACAAGTAGAATTAAAACACGACTGTATGAGAAATTGTAGCTGTTACAGATCATATTGTGTGGTAATTCTCTCAAGGTTTATGGCAGTTCTTTTTGTAAAAAAATCTCTCTGAATATCCAGAGAGATGAAGTTACTTTGAAACCTTGTTATTTAGCAACTAGGGCGATTACTAGGGTAGTTATTTGGGGTTTCAGTGTTGGCTACTTAAAGAGACATCTATTATACCATGAGTCATTGGAAAGATCTATCTGACAAGACCAGATTAGATACTATAGCTTTCATTTGGAATGCTGCAGTGACATTGTGAGATAATAGTCTTTAGACATCCTACATAGCAGAACTGGATGTTACATGAAACTTTTTGTGTTGAAATTGAATGAAGCATTATGGAAACAAGAATGCAAATCCTTTTTATTTGTATACAATTCTTTATTTAGAATATTTATTTTCAAGAGTTTACCATGATCCATCTTGCCACCGCCTGGGCCCTGCAATTGAGGTGGCAGAGGTGTCGCTGGGCCCAAGCAGTGGCAAGATGCCCCAGCACCGACGAGGAAGAGGAAGGTGAAGAGGGTGAAGAGGGAAGAAGACTGCCTCAGCCCTCTTTACCTTCCTCTTCCTCGTCAGCAGCAAGACGCCCCTGCAGCAATGAGGAGCGGGAAGAGGAAGGTAAAGAGGGCAAGGAGGGAAGAAGACCGCCTCCTCGCCCTCTTTACCTTCCTCTTCCTCCTCCTTGTCACCTCCTGGGCCTCTTGCCACTGCTTGGGCCCTGCGATTGTGGAGGTGGCAGCAATGAGGAGGAGGAAGAGGAAGGTAAAGAGGACGAGGGGGTAGCTCTTCTTCCCTCCTTGCTACAGTGTTCCCTTGCTACTTAAATTTATATATATTTAAAAAACAGTGAAGTAGCGATAAATGAACCACAAAGTAACGAGGTCACCTGTTGGCTTATGGTTTGTTTCTGTTTTTGTGTCAGGAGCGACTTGGGAAACTGCAAGTCACTTCTGGTATGAGAGAATTGGCCATCTGTAAGGACAAGAACATTGCCCAGGAGACACCTGGATGTTTTACCATCCTGTTGGAGGCCTCTCTCATGTCCCCGCATGAGAAGCTGGATCTGACAGATGGGAGCTCATCCTGCTCCCCATATTCGAACCGCCGACCTTTCGGTCAGCAGTTCTGCCGGCACAAGGGTTTAACCCAATGCACCACCGGTGGTTCCGTTGACTTATGGTGACCCTATGGGTTTCATTGGGTTTTCTCACTCAGAGGTGTTTTTGCCATTCCATCCTCTGAAATATCACTTAAAGCACCTGATAAGTCTTCCATTGAAGTGCTAACCAGGACTAACCCTGCTTAGCTCCCAAGACTAGGTGAGATCTTCTGGTCTTATGATATTTAGCCAAGATCTATACTAAGACGATCTCATCTCATTAGTATGCATGCGAACTTGGAAACATAGTTCCTGACATTGGATAAAGGCTTATTATTTTGCCATCTTCCTGTACAGAACTTAGAGCACACATGGATTTGGTTTTTAGCCTTATTCAGTCCACACAACCTTCCTTCAATCTGGGATGTGGGTTACGATGGTGGATGCCTGAAGAAGAGTTTGACTATGACCTGGGTCTTTGCAATAATGGTCAGGAATAGGTCATAAGAGTGTGAATATCTTTGACCACCATTATCTCTTGTATGGTATATCAATTACTACCATTAACTTTAGTCATGTTTAAAATATCACAGTAGCACTTATCAGGATTTCTTCTTTACCAGAGTTTAAGGCTGACCAGCAAACTAGCAAATACGGAACTTGATTATTAATATTTTTATATAATGACTGTCTTCACTGTTGAATTCAAGCTAGCAATGTGTATAAAGTTTCCTAACTAGATCCTGGTTTAAGATTCACCAAGGCTTCCTCATTTATCCTAATCCCACTAGCCAGAGGCAAAGTGAAGTATTGCTGTGTAGAGAAGCAAATAAACAGAGGTGAAATACATTGCATTCAAAATCTTAATAAAATATATGGCACATTGAGTACAGTGCAGTTTAGAGATAATAGTGTTTTTTCAAGAATGAAGTGATGTAAGACATGGACACTATTTCTGTGTTTGCCAGTTACCACATTTTCCTCTTTGGTGAAAGAACATGCTGTATAACCGGTTCTTCTAAGCATATATTTCCTGAAAAGTACTCTTTTATTTAAGTATATTCAGTATAGTATCCTGCTTGATTTCTTGATGTGTACAAAGTCAGTTCAAGAGTTTTCAAAATACAAATTAATTGTTACATTATGAAGTGAAAGATTGTTTGGATTTTTTGTTGTTACCTGTTCTGTGAATAAAAGGGTTAAAACTTCCATGTGTCTGATTAGTTTGAGTTTAGTGGACAAGGAAGATCAGAACAACAACTCTCTCCAGTGTCAGATTTCTAGTCGCATAGGGAGATAATTGCTACTCTGTCTTCAGTATGGAGTCAAAGTAATCCTCATGGGTGCTGGTTTTACACAAAAACAAAGTGCAGTGTGCTTTTGTATCATTAGATGGCATCTTTCTTCATGCTCATGGGCTCTTCTACTAAACCGAATACACAATTAATTAGCAGACAGCCAATTTCTCCTATTGTAGATTTCAGGTTTTTTAAATCTGTATTTCCAAGGTTAATATAAAAAGCAAGTGGAGTGACACTTTCAAATGTTTAGCAAGTTTGAAATAGTGGAATAAAAAATCCAAAGTTGATTAGTATTCTTCCCCAAAATTAGAATGCTAAAGGGTCATATGAAAGCGACATAAAATAAAAGAGTAAAAGTGTATATTCTAAAAAAGAAAATAACATTTCAGCAATACAAATAACTTTCAATTTTATGTCATTATTAGTGAAGAGTGTCCCTGTTAGCTATCTCCTTGTTTTGGCTGAATGAAAGCATATCCAATACCGATTAACAGAATTAGGTTACAGAACAATAGGACTTCATCTAATGGTTCATTGTGTAAGCAGGTGTGTTCCTTACAAATAAAGCATGCTAAACACCACTTTCTCTGGGCTTTATATAACATTTAGTCTGAGCATCAGTAGCCCAATTGTTTGTCTCCCAGCAGTTTTCTTTATAGGTCCAGTGTCTTATATATTTGATAATTCTGTAAATAATGCGTGTAGCATTTGGGAAATAACATTTCATGCATTTGGATCTTCTAGATGCTACCATATTTCTTTGATTTTAAGGTGGTATTATAAGATACACACTAATTTCAGTAGCATCAACAGAAAAAAGCTTTATTTATATACATTTTAAAAAACCCATCCTTCTAAGGTGCACCCCATTTTAGAGATGTTTATATGAGGTAAAAAGTGTGTCTTTAGCACCCTTCTACATTGTCCTTATATCCCAGGATCTGATCCCAATTTATTTGCTTTGAATTGTATTATATGAGTCTCCACTGCCATAGAATCTGAGATAAACAGATAATCTGAGATCAGATCCTGGGATATAAGGACGGTATAGAAGGAGCCTTAGAATAAAAAAAACCCCTTATTTTAATTGTAAGGCCTGTGCCAACAGTTGCTGAAAATACGGACATACTGATGTATACTTAAACATAAAATTATATACCACTCTTTATTATAAAGCAGTAGGTAGTAAGCTTTTAGCTATATTGGTGCAAAACTTTTTAAAAGACTCCTTATAATCAAGGCTTTGAGGATAGAACTCATTGGCTTCATTAAAAAAGTTTGTAAAATATATCTAAAATACATATTGCCCCACAATGCTCTTTGGGGGTTCCCGGGGGCCATTTCCTCCAAAACTTTCACTCACCTGGATGAATGTAGATTTTAGAGCAGCTCTTTTTTGTATAAAGAAGTAAATAAGTTATGTCTGTTTATTATTTGTTGTTGAAAAGTCTTATCCTGGGCTTAAAATGGCCTGAAAGGCCCCAAAACATAAGCTTTCATATAATCTATCTCATCAGTTGCATGATTAGATGGGCAGACATTTTTACCATGAATGAGGAGTGGTTTTGTGAATAGTAACAGAAAAGCAAAACTTGTGGGTATGTGTTGAGGTGACCCCAATGAATGTCCAAGAGCTAAGATTTAAAGGAGTCTTGTGCAAGAAATTAAAGAGCAGGGAAGCAGGGAAATCACCAAAGAAGAATTCAAACAAATAACCAACACATGTTGGGAAAAGGTCAGAAAAGCTAAAATGCAAAATGTGTTCAAGTTTGCCAGAGAGATTAAAAACAATTAAAAGGAGTTATTTGATTGTCAGTAGAAAAAAGAAGAACAAGGAAATGGTAAAGCCTCTGCATGGAGAGGATAGTGAAATGCTAACAAGGATAGAGAAAAGGCAGAGCTGCTCAACACCTTCTTTGTCTCAGTCTTCTCCCACAAGCAGATACGTGTTTAACATGAGCAATACGGAGTGGACAAGGCAATAGGGAAAATGCAACCCAAAGTAGGTAAAGAAGTAGTTCAGGGATACCTGGCTACTCTAAATGAATTCAACTCTTTAGGGCAGATGAACTACATCCAAGAGTATTGAAGGAACAAGCAGAAGTCATTTCAGAACCACTGGCAATAATCTTTGAAAACTCTTGGAGAACAGAAGTCCCAGCAGACTGGAGGAAGGCAAATGTCCCTATCTTCAAGAAGGGAAAGAAGGAGGACCCAAACAATTACCGTCCAGTCTGTCTGACATCAATACCAGGAAAGAATCTAGAGTGGTTCAGTAAGGAGGTAGTCTGTAATCAGTTAGAAAAGAATGCTGTGTTCAGTGAAAGTCAACATGGATATCTTAAAAATAAGTCATGTCAGACTTATCTCTTTTTTCGATAGAGTTACAAGCTTGTTAGATGCAGGGAATGCTGT